TATTGTTCTAGGAACAAAGAGAAGAAATAGGGGCCTATACGGTCGAGGACAACTACAAAAAGGGAGGGGGCAATATTAGGATTTAGACTAGACAGCGATATAGATATTTTAGGATAGACCCGGAATGGCCTAGGAGTACCTAAGATAGGCTAGAACGGGCTACTACGATTTAAGAGGGTTTAGGCTAGACCTTTACCGCTAATACTAAGTTAAGATAGTTTATAGAGAGTTAGAGTAGGAGATCTTAGATCGAGACATTCCAAATTATACCCGAGAGGCTAGAGCCTCCGGGTACTCCGAAGTTATACTTATAAACAGAGGGAGAAGACGCATCCCTACTCTTCTCCTAAGCGATTCGAGTAGTACATTTCTATTAGATACTTTAGCCTATATATCTTATCCTTTTATAGAACTAGCCTAATAAGTTGCAATTCGACTAGCCTACGTAGTATAAAGGTATAGAGGAAGAAGAATAGGATAAGTATAAGGCGAGGTTGCTAGTATAGTCGTAGAACCCTAGCGAGTAAGACGACCTATACCTCGATCCGGTACTTACTAGTTAAGGCTAAGGTCTCTACGGTAGTAGGCTATACTTCTATAGGCAGTACCTATAGCAATAGTAACACTAACCTAGCTATAGTTAGTCTAGGTACAGTTAACGCTAATTACTAGACATACAGTCCTTTCCTCGTCTACCTTAACGAGGACTTCAGCCTATATCCCTCTAAATACCGTCTTAGGGCTATCGTCTAAATTTTCCTATACTCTCTAGCTAACGCGTATTATCGATACTACCTACGCTAGCGGTAAAGTCTCTCGGAAAGCAAGTACGTATAGCCTCTTAGCAACTCCTACCGCTATAACCGAAGCGTACTCCGTAGTTACTCCTATATTAACCTATAGGCGGGTCTCGGTTGTCTGCCCTCTAGTCCGGCTCTTAACTTACTCTATCCTATATAGCTTATCCTAAAATTGTTAGTAGTCGTAGCAGTAGTAGTAGTAGTAGTAGTCGTAGCAGTCGTAGTAGTCGTAGCAGTAGTAGACCTAGTAGATCTAGTAGTACTAGTAGACCTAGTAGACCTAGTAGAGTTAATAGTCTAGGCATTACGTCCGGTGAATTTATTATTAACCCTATTACCCGTACGGAGCTGCGTACTAAGCTAAAGGCTAGCGTAACGCTCTCTTACAAGAGTAAGCTAAAGTCTACGAACAAAGAGCTACTTGTAGACAATAAACGCAAGTTACTCGAATCGAAGCTCGACCGGGCTATCCGCTAGAACTACTTCCTCTCGTACTACTACCTTAATACCTAGGACATTATTAACTTCGTCTATAAGGACCGTATTAATATCGATAGTACCGACTAGGATACTACAAAGGTTAAGATTTCTAAGAACAGCCGCTTATATAAGTCTAAGACTATATAGAACTTCAAGTTATTAATCTAGAATATAATTAAGCAAGACCTAAGCCTTCTCGAGCTCCGTACTACTATATTCTCTAACAAGTTTGCCTAAACCTTTAATAAGTATAATTACTTCTACTGCTTCTACTTTATAAAGGACTATCTTAATATTAATAGGAGTTCCGAGCTTAGTAAGTAGTTTCTTTAGACAATCTATATCAATATAGAGGTTCAAGTACGCGAGTATATTATTGCCGGTACTTCCGATCGCTAGAACTAGGCATTAGGCTTCTAGGACGAGATTGTACTCTTAGAAGATTACGACTAGGTTAGAATTACTGATTTCTAAGAGCTAAGTACTAAGTTCCGTACTATTAAAGCAACGAAGAAGCGCGACTTCGCTGCTACTAAGGCATCTTATATCTCGATAGGCCTACTACTATAGAAGAAGAAGACCGTTATTCCGCCGGCCGATAAGCGTACTAGTAAGGATATCGACGATCTTGATAAGGAAGAGGATAAAGATAAGACTAAGCCTACGGGTAAGCGTAATAGTAAGGGCGAGGGTTATAAGTAGGACGATCTATTCTCCGACCCTAGCGGTTAGCCTAGGCCTAGATACGACTTAGGTATAGACGGCGTCTTTGATTTCGATACTACCCCGACCAAAGCACTCGCTCGTCGCCTTAGCAGTACTACTATCTAATAGCGCGACGCCTCTTAGTAGTACAAGACTGTTCGTCGCTTTAATAACAGCTCGCTTACTAAGTTTGATCCTTCTAAGTACGTTATACCGGTCGTTATCTATAGTAATATAGATAAAGAAGACGACGAAGAAGAGGAGGTAGTAGATTATAAAGAACAAGACGGCAACGATAAGTCGTAGGAGACCCTCCGCTAAGACCGGGTATATATAATCGACGCCTTACTAACCAATATACGCTTTCCTTACAACGTATTCCCTCTATCCCCCTCCCTCTATCCCTTTCCCTATAGCCCTTTTACCCTCTATTTATATTATTACCGTTGCTATTATTAGCCGTTTAAGTTACTTCTTGTCTATAGGAGATTAAAGAAACAGGTTGTACTATCTATTACCTTAGGCCCGGGCATTTGTATTAGCTAGTAGTCGAGCTCTTCGTAGATTTCTATAAAGGGTTACTAAATCAAAAAAGCGTTTGCGTACTAAAAATAATATTTATAATCTATTATAGTCTACAGCTTGCCTAATGTACTTGCCTAAAATGCTTGCCTAATATACTTGTCTAATATACTTGCCTATAGGTAATATACCTGCCTAATATACCTGCCTATAGGTAATGTGCCTACCTAATATACCTACCTATATTAACCTAAGAATCTGTATTAGTACTATGTTAATACTATACTAGAATATAACGACTATATCGATACGGTGTTTTTAAGATCACTGTATTAGTTTAGCAATTTACTTGCAATATATATTACACTGCTTATATATACTCTAAGAAACACAGAGATTTAAAGTTTACTGTTACCCTACGGTTTCGAAATCCTACACTGTAGGAACACGCTTACGTAGCTACTGCGGACTCCGGTAAGGTACATAGAAAAAAAAGACACCTTTTTCCGGATTTTCTCGATTTGTTTCTCGATTTTTTTCCTACCTTTTAGCCTGGTTTTTTTTTCTCTCTCGGAGTCTCTCCTCCCTACTTTTTCTCTCCTCCTAGGAGGCCTCCTAGAGGCCTCCTACCCTTGTCAAAGTTGTCAAACCAAACCCAAAGTTAGGAGGCCTCAAGTTTGGTTTGCCAAGACTTTGGCAAAGTTGGGATTTCTCAACTTTGATTGAGGTTTGACGCCAAACCTCAATCAAAGTCTTGGCAGAACTTTGATTGGGGACCACCCTGATTGAGATATCTGGCGTGTCAAAAGGACACTGCGGCTGCCAAGGAGGTTTTGGAACTTGGTTTGTTTGTCGTTTCGAATGGGCCTAAATCCATTCATACAGGTAGGTACCCGGACATCCATGTATCTCGCCTCGCTTACTCAGCATGGCTGATCTCGTACCGACTGGCAACACGAGGCAAAGCATTCAGTTTTAGCCCTTTTGTGAACCATGATATGTTCTATAACGCATGACTAGAACCTGCCGAACTTGATGCTAGATGCAGTCCTGCATACAGTCGGCGCGAAGTATAATGAATCTGCTGCAGAAAAAGCTTTTGGCTTTGAGGAATTCCTCAAAAGGTCGGTGTGTGACATTCATTGACGGAATACCTACTACTGTGTTGTGACCTCACAATAGGGGGTAGACATACATATGAGAGCACAATCAGGGAAGAGCAATTTCGAATTGGCTCTAGAAGATGTGATAGGGATTCATGATATGGATAGGAAGTTGACAGGCTTCAACTACTAACCTATGATGGATGGAGGCTGTATAGGTAGTGATGTGGAGGGATTCCACTTCTGACAGTCTTCTGATACGTACCTCTTGCAGTCGTTCGAGGCATCAGGATGGGAACAATGATGGAAAGGAGATGCTACGATAGAGTTATGGGTTCTATCCCGTGACACTTGTCTAGTGAGGGATAGATAGTTCTCACGATCTCGATCCCGCGGCAGTACTTGCTCACCCGCTCCTGAACTACATACTACTCAGTGCTGTATAGCACCTCCTTAAGTCATTATCGAAGATCCGGCAGCGTGCGGGCCTATTGTGCTGCATATGGCTGTTATCTGCAGATCATATGAAGCATTATCTATTTCACGTTCCCAGCCTACCAGGTGTATGAAGCAGGTCGACATTCTCGGAAGTAGGCCACGCAAGCGATAAGGTACCTGAAGTTCTAGTTCTACCTCCAGCAAGCGAGCCGCCAGTCCGAGCGGGGCAGATGTCAGCCAGCCCGCAGCCGCAGCAAGCAACAAGCAAGCAAGCAAGCCAGCCAACCCTACTGTGACAGAGACGAAGTAGTGCATTTTGCGCTGTTGCCGCCGATGCTATGCATATACATCTATGTCACGATGGCTCGGCAGACCATACAAGACATGCAATGCATGCGCTGCATGATCGACCAGTGTGAGCATGAGGACGGTGAATTGCAGCTGATGGACAAGGAGGTGAGGTCTTCGGGGCTTGTGCTCATGAATTGTGTGTGCATTGCAGATGGAACCAACTACATGTAGTTCTGAAATGGGTATTGATTGTTTCTTGCAGTTAGAAACAACCTGTGTCTTCTTGAGGACGGGAGAGGCATATAAACAATATTAATGCCTCAGCGAGTGCGGTATTTTGCCACCATTAAACAAACTCTGATTGGGGGGGGGGTATTGACGGTCGATCGTGGACGATCAGGTACAGGACAAGGGAAAAGCCTCAGCAGCCGCATGCATGCATCATTTGACCACCGACCGCTCCATCGAGGTCCCCCAACCCATTGATTTATCACTTCTAGCCCTCCTTCCTAAATTCTGCTGTTGACGTGCTTCTGCGCTGCTTTGGTGCGATTTGACACAACAACATTCTGCTGCACACACCTGTTTCACCACTCCTCGCTCGCACCCTCTCCTCCTCCTCCAGCTTCACGGCACCACCACTACCACCACCACCACCATCACCACCACCACCTCCTCCTCTTCCGCCTTCTCACTCTCTCTACTATTATTATTGCTATTTCTGCATTGAGTGCCCCGGGAGAGGTGTCTGCTCTTGAACGTAAGCCACCCACCACCGCAGGCACCGACCTCTCTCGGTCAGAGCCTGCGTGTATGACAGCAGCAAGGCCGTCACTAGCACGATGACGCCCGGGCAGCGAACAGGTTCCGCGGACGACAGGCAAGAGCGGGCACGGCATGGATACGACTGAAGTTTGGTACGGGTGCATACAGCGGTCTTTTGAAGAGACTGACTGCATGTCCCTCGGGTTTGAAGCGTGCCACGCAACACCTCCATCCTTCGGGACCACAGCCACGCCTTGCTTCGACCCTGTCGCTGCCGCTGATGCTGGCTGCCACGGCGTCACCTGCAAAAGAGACGACCACACACTGTCTGTATCTTAAATGTTTGGCATTTCCGCCGCTTTGCGCAGCTTTCATAGCATGGCTGGCGGGCGGGAACGCAGACTCGAGGCACTAACATATATGCACAGTCCTTCCAGTCGCAATTCTACCTTGCCTCCATTCACCCATCCATCATCACCCATCTATAATTCCTAGACATGTCTACACCCGCAATTCCCCCTCGTCCGCAACGGAACGCCCAGCAGACTGCGCCCACTGCTGGCCGCAATGATCAGCCTCTGGTGCCTCCACGACCAGTCCGCAAAACCGATCCCTCGCCATCTCGTTCGCCGCTGAACCTTCCGCCGACGACTATGGCAAACAGGCCCGCGCCGAGGAGAACAAGCCAGGACTTGCCTCGCAGACCTCCTAGTGTATCTCTGCCTGATATCGGCCACGAGGGAGACGAATACTCTAGCTTTGATCAGCTGCCTCCCGAGGCTCATGGCGTCAGCGTGGAAAAGGACAACGAGCAGACTCGAAATGTCGCAGCAGATTTGCCTATGCACCAACCCAGGGCATCTGTGCCCCAGTCTACTGCCACGAAGAACATTTCAAAAGTTACGGATACCGATTCCACTACTGCTGCAGGACTTGGTATCGGGCGTGCTCGACCAGCAGACGACGTGCACAAGCTGCCTCCGGGTGACGCCTCACCCTCCCGCATCACTCGCGTGACAAGTAACACTAGGCGTGCTCCCTCTACCGAGCCACCAAACAGTCTTCGCACGAAAGCTAGCTTCAATCGTTCTACGCCAACTCTGGTGCTGGAGCGTCAAGTCTCTCGCCCCGGTAGCGTCTATGGTGACGACGCTGAGCATGGCATTCCTGAGATCGGCCAACAGATCCCTCTCAATCGATTTGCGGGAGACGCGCAAGCTCCAACTCCTACTGGTGGTCAGTCCGCGCATGCTCCTGGCATTGGATTCTTCAACGACGGCTCGGCGAAGCACCACAAGAAAAGGCATTCGAGACAGGAATTCTTGACCCATGACAGCTACGGTCTGGAGCACGACGAGAACCACGCCGATCAATTTGAAAAGGAGTGGATGAAGAAGCACCCACAAGAGGCCGCCAAGGAGCACCACTCCCGGATTCTTCCCAGGCCAGAGACTGCCATGACTAGTGATCAACTCAACAGGCTCATCCATAGCAGCGATAGTGGTTTGTACTCTTGAGAGTCGTTCCTTGCGTTGTATACTAATATTAGTTTTAGGAGCTGCACCAATGCCTAGCACTCCAGGCGAAGAGGATGCATACGAAGAGTACATTGCTCGCATGTCTCCAAAAGTCTCTACAACCGATCGCAAGAAGCGCACCTCCAGCGGAGATGTCGCCCCCGACTCGCTTTTTCGCAAGACCTTCGCCTCGAAGAGCCTTCATCCCGACCATGCTATAGATGACGAACACGCTCCTCGAAGGATGTCATACTACGACTCAGAAGACGAGCACACGCAGCGAGATGGTACGCCAATTCTGGCTGCCGACGAGATGATGAAGAGACCAAGCAGTGCTTTCATGCCGGCAGCTGTCATTCCGGAGCCACGAGCTGATGATGACTATTATTACGAGAGCGGCGAGGATTACCATGGCGGAAGCCGCAGGAACAGCCGTCCGTCTAGCAGACCAGGAAGTGTCCACGGAGCTCAAGCATTGCATGGCTACGGTGGTGGCTCCCTGCATCGCTATGTCTCGCACGAGGAAGTCAGTCACGCAGGCGGGGGCACACCACTAGAGGAGATTGAGGAATACGAGCCACTATTCCCAGACGAGGGTGAGGAGCGCTCGGAGAAACCCAAAGTGCTCAAGAAAAGGTCAGATGTGGCTGCGATGCATCACTTCCCAAGCCAAGACATTTGGGAAGATACGCCTTCGTCTCTCCAGTATTCTGCAGAGGTCTCTACACCGGAGGTGGAACGACAACAGGAAGCATTGGAAGCTGAGAAGACAGCTCATGTGGGCGCACGTACATTTGAAACGCCTGAGCAGGAGGAGGCTCGCAAGCAAGCAGGTCCGGATATGACGAGCAGCGAGAAAACTTTCATCAAACCGCACTTCAAGCCTGGCGTGCTGGAAGATGTTAAGGCGTCGCACCGTCCAGGCGCGCATCGCTTCCCTAGCTCAGACGTGTGGGAAGACACCCCCAGCAGTATGCTGGGCGAGACTACGGTATCCGTACCTGAAATGGATGACGTGCGAAGTCCACCAGAAGAGCGAGCTACAACTTCAGCGCTTCCCGGCAGCCAAGACGATCTGGACGCGCGTGCGTCCACTGCAGGTGGCTTGGCATTGAGTAAGCCGACCATTCCTTCTCGACCTGTGCGAAGTTCGAAGTTGTCAGAGGAGAAGCCTGGAGACGAGGAAGTGAGCCCGACGAAGACAAAGGCGCCAAGCATACCAGCAAAGCCAAGCATACCAGCTCGACCAGTCCGACCAGCTCGCGGGGAGGGTGCGCCTCTCGAGCAGTCGAGGTCTGGAGGTGGCGATGAGTCTGTCACGTCGCCGCCTTTGCCAAAGGCTAAGCCTGCTGTACCCGCACGTCCTGGCTCCAAGATTTCGGCATTGCAAGGCAATTTTATGAGCGATCTGAACAACCGCTTGAAGCTTGGACCTCAAGCACCACATAAGAAGGAGGAGCCGCAGCTTAATGATGAGGCGGCTCGGGAACCGCTTGCCGATGCTCGCAAGTCTCGTGCCAAAGGGCCGCCTCGCCGTAAGCCAGCTGCATCGGCGCCTGCTGAGCGCAAACAAACCTTTACGTTCGCAATGTCACCTCTGATCACTTGCTGGACGATTGATGAAACAGACGAGCTGCAGGTTCAGAACGAATCCGAGAAGGAAAACAAGGACCCGGAGACTGCGCATGATGCACCCGAGGCAGAGCAGACCCTGGAGTCGAACGCTCAGGATAACACCGACGCAGCCGCGCCGACGGAAGCTAACGATGTAGCATCTGCAATCTCCAAATCGCGCCACCCGTCCGAGACGGCCCAAGGGCATGCTTCGTCCGCAGATGCTCTCAAAGCAGCTCTTGCGGAAGCCGGGGCCGGACCAGCTGTCGCGGTGATAGAGGAAGAGGGGGAAAAGCTTCCGTCTGCCGAGACTGTCAAGAGTGTTGTACTCGATGTCCCTGATACGACAGAGACCACTGGGGAGGTCAAGGCAGAAGTCGTACCAGGCGCGTTTCCAGGCGAAGAGAGTGAACTCGTAGTCAACGCATAGCAAAGGGTGCAAATGGAGTGTTGTCGGCATTGTGAGCGGAGGACAAAAAGTTGTTTGGGCGACTATGACGTGGGTATATACGGCGAATAAGGCGAGGGTGTTGAAGTTGCTATTTCTAGCGAGCTTGTCGGAGTTGTCAGGCAACATGCGGATTGTTGTCATACTGCTAACAGCAACACAGTGCGCAACAGCGCGAGGCTCCTCGAGCTTGTAAGTAACAACGGTTTCCTTGATTGCATTCGCTCTCATTGGATCATTCGGTTCCGCTGAGGTTATTGACGTGCTGTGTTGGCGCTGCAATGGTGTGCCATTGTTGACCACTAACGATATAGGCTTGTCGACCCTTTCCTTGCCTTTGGGCTGCCAAATGCCAAATGGCAGTGAGCCCGAGTGAGCCAACATTTGTCCAATAGATTCTATGTCCTCTGCACTGAGCGGAGGAATATGCCTCACCGCTACAGGTAGGTAGGTACCTTTGAAACATGTCTTGGCACCCAATTGCCGTGCAGCGTGCACTCGTGCATTGGATTCCAAGCCAAGCAAATTTCGTTTGTAACAATAAGGTATCCAGTCAGGAAACCATGCCTCACTGCATGGCTGCCTCTACCCTTTTTGAGCCAATCCAACAACACGAGGCTCACAAATCTCTCTTCAATATCACCATTGCAACGCGTCAATCGGCGGATAGTGGGCTCTGTGTGTATGCGACACTGAACTTGACAGAGAGGGCACTACCTACATGTACCTACCTTACCTTACTCTACTGCCGAGTTGTGCCATCCTGATTAAATCCCCTCAATAGAAACCACTTGGGTACCTTACGATACAGACGACGGAGTACATGTAGTAGGTAGGTGCACACCCAGCAAGCAGAGCCAGTGGAGCGTCAAGCTCGGATGGATATACATTTCCTGCGTTTCTTCCCTCTATTTTGCACACATTATGAGTTGGAAACTTACCTTACCGTAGTTACATTCTATAGCTACCTTAGGTACATACCTTGTTATATGGCTTCCATTTCTGTGCATCTTTCGCCCCGGGCGGAACCGCTACATTATTCAAATACCTAGGTACCTCTTCATGAAATGAATCAGCCGTTATCCGTTAGATACATGCACATGGTTTCTTATGCATCGTATAGCATCGCATCGTATACATACTCTCCAAAAGCACGATAAGACGTACATGTATGTGCATAACACCCTGCAGGCATTGCGTCAACTACAGTACCTACCTGGAGGCTGAGCCTTGATTGTACCAGCGTCGACACGAAACTACTGTCTCTTCTGGTAGGTAATATGCATGGTACTTCCCGGCTAGAAAACTTCGAGTTTTTTCAAAGAGTTAGTGGTATATACGCGCTGATGTTGACTGTGGAGCAGCCTCTGTTGGATGTGAGTAAGAGTTTCCTTAGACGAAAGAGTGGCTGAGTAAAGTGGAAAGGCGGAGTATATTTGATGAGGCTGATGTGACTGTGATCAAATCGCGGTCATAGTTCCGTGACATTTCTGTTTATATTATGTATATACTACTGATGATCATGATGATACTTTTTTTTGGAGGCTTGCAGCAAGAACACGGCGCTGGCGCATTCAAGCCACGACATGCTCAAAAGCTTCTTCACCAATGCCACATACACTTGTAATTCAAGATTCTCGCACCGAGTCTGTCGTACTCGATGGGAAATATCCAGCTGTCGTTGGTCATTCGCAATTTGCCGAATACACTAGCTCCCTTCCAGGCGATCACGGACGGGTCGAGATCGCGGGGTGGTGGAGCCACGAGAATCTCCTTGGGATACTGAGGCATTCTATTCCGTAGTTGTTGCTCCAGGTAAGCCTGCAGGTAGGGTGTCTTCGATGCACCTCCGATGAGCATGATGCTACCGAGGAAGTCACGCTTGCGACGCTCGTCTATCTGCCCATTAGACAAATGGCTGGCGTGGTCGATGGATCGCAGAATGGCTTCGTCTAGCGGCATGATAGGTATCACGCGATCTTTCGTCTCGTCATCTGCCGGAGCTGCGATGCCATCGTTCATACCATCACCCATTGTGATGTCCACATCTTCAGGTGGCATTGGCATTGGGGTGCCTTCTGGAGGCGGTGTTCCTGCCACCGATGACCGTGGTGTGCCATCCACTTCACCATTTAGGTAGCTTGGCAGACCTAGCGGTCGCTGCTTCTGTGGCGTCGCCGCTGCCATGGGAGTACCCATCATGCGCGTGGGCTCGCTTGGCGCGGGCAATATTGTAGAGGGGATGTTGGCGCTGGCATATTTGCGCACTTCCTTCTGTGCCTCAGAGTCTGGGTCATTTGGTTTCTGATCGTAAATATCTGCTGACGCCGGGATTAATGTTCGACGTCCAGCAAGCTTATCCGAGTTGTCGAAGATGGTTGGTCTGAAAAAGCCCATGGGTGCGAGCACTCCTTCGTCATATAGCTTGAACTGGTACTTGCGCGTGGGCTGACCATGTGCACGTAAGTGAAAGTCGTAGAGCTGCACGCTGATGTTCTCGTCGCTCATCGTCGTGTACTTCTCTTTGAGCTCCTCTGCAAGGAGGAAATCGTGTCGGCGCATGAGGTTAAAGTCGCTGTAATGAAACTTGTCGAACAGCATCATTCTGACAAAAGTCTCAGTCACGTCGAATCCACCATATTTGAGATTCACGCGGGATGGCTCGATACACATGCCATCCTCAACGCAGCAAACTGTGGTCTTTTGTGCACCCATATCAACCATGCATGCTGTACTGAAGCCGGCGCCGAACGTGGCTGCTAGTGATTCCTGCATAAAACACACGCGAGCAAAGCCAAAGTCCGTCATGAGCTCTTGGAGGACTGTAGTGACAAACACCTTTTCGTACAAGTCGGGTATGAGAAAGACACAGCTGTATTGGTTCCAGTCCCGCTTATGAGGAAGGTCCAGCTGTGTTTTGATGCTGTCTTCAATGATCAGAAAGAAGTCCCTCTGCAACTTGCTCCGGCTGTAGTAGTCCTTCTCGTTCAGATATCCTTGTCGTACTGGCCAACTGAGGTGGTACTTCGGTCTGGAATCCTCAGGTATACGCAGAGCAGGTGCTCCGATGATGTAGTCCGGTGCCTTTGCTGGGTCTGCTGGCAGCTCTGTCCAGTCCAGCTGTACCGGGTCATTGTGTTCCGAGATGATCTCGGGCGGAGTGGCACTGTTCCATTTGGTCACCAGCTCGCGGGAGTTTGGAAGCACTCGTCGCTTGTTCTGCCTCCTGAACTGCTTGAAGCCTGCTGCCATGCTGTCGTACTCTTTTGCAAACTGGATTAAGTCAGCCCAGGGCCAAATGATGAGTTGGATCTAGCATACCTCTTCTCCAAACCACTCCTCAGACGGCATGTCGTTGTCGAGCTTGAGGCGCTTTGGTGTAGGCTCCGAGGTCTCAGACTCGGTGCTCTGCGCCTTCCTCGCGATCACCATGGGGATGGTCTTGGGCAATGCGTCGGTGGCGAAACCAATGCGCATATTCTGGCTGCCGACATGGACAACAATGGTCTTGGAGCCATAGTTTTCACCTAGTTCGTCGACCAGGCCGACCTCGTTGTCGAGATAATCGTCATTCACCTCGGGCGGGTACGCGCCTTCCTGGCCGTTCTGCGCGCGAGCTCTATCGAGGTCGACAGCAGCTCTCTTCCGGCGGTCCAGTCGTTCTTCTTGTTGCAGTCGCAGGGCCAGGGTTTGGTCATCGCGTTTCAGGAAGTCACTATCGGGCCAGTCAGTGCGGCGCGGTGACGGGAATGAGATGTCATGTGAAAGCCGGCAGGCAGCGTGGTGCAGCAGTGTTGGTTGCGTGTGCTTCGGTGCATGTCAAAGGCGAGGGCTACCTCTTGCAGTATTGCACATTCAGTGCATAGAGGTCCTTCTTGCCCTTTCTCAAGCCATCCAGGACCTTTCGCCCCACCATGGTGTGACGCTCGAGACGCTCGTGCGCAGTTACATGAAGCAGAAGCAGAAGTGAAGCGGAAGCAGGCAGCAGACAGGCCGGTACAGGTGGTCTTCAGACCAAAGAGACAAAGTTGGCACTCACGTGTAGTAGTTTTTCTGGTTAATCATGCTGACCTGCGGCCACGTCGTGAAGTCCATATTGTTGTCCGTGCGCTGCAACCCTATACGAAGGCTTAGTACATGACATGCAAGATCCCATTTCTGGCGTTTGCTTAGACGCCTTCGGGGCGAGGGGAGAAACAGCGGGCGGCGGGCGGTGAGGAACGCGTTTCTGAAGAGCACATGGGTGCGCACAGCGACCTGTCGTACCTTCGTCGCGCAGCAGAGCGCGGCCACTCTTCTTGCCCACCATGTCGACGTCGGCTTGAAGTTGGTCGGTGGGTGGGTGGGTGGTTGTGTGTTTGTGTGTAAAAGTGTACTTTTATCCGCGTATGTGAGGAGAGTTTGCAAGCAATTGGCCCTTCGCTGCAGTAGTATAGGGAATGGTATAATAATACAAGGTTAGGCAGGTATAGCAGCAGCACTGCAGGAGGTAGAAAGGCCAAAGAATGGACAATATATCATAAAGCCCCAGCGAAACCGTCCCTATGGACGGAATGAAGAGTTGGTACGAGTATGACCAGGAAGCGGTTCCGATAGGACTGTCACTTGGAGGAGTGATGGGAGGCGAGTCGAGTCGTGTCGTCGTGGCGATGGAGGATGTTGTTGTTGTTCTCGCATCCCCTTGGTCAATCAAGTTGGTCCATGTTGGATGATTAATCTTCGCGCCTTGGGTTCCCCGCTGCTGACTCGCACAACCCACTTCGGGAACAGGAACAGCGCATCAACACAGCTCATACGTCCCGCCATACAACGCCTTTTTGCTTGAAATCACAGTACAACTCTCCCTTACTGCCCACATCGGCTACCCACCACACCGCCCGCGACAGCGCTCTACCCACCGTCACAGCCAGCATGTCCGTCGGTATGTCACACGCACAGAAAAGGCAAGGCCGCGACATGGTACTGGACTGACAGGCGCTTCAGATTTCGAGAGCGTTGCGAGTACGTGCTAACAAGCCAACAATCGTTCGAGCGAGCGCAAATCCTGACACCATTCTGTAGAGCAATTCGTCGAGTACTACTACAAGACCTTCGACGCGAATCGCTCAGGCCTTGCGCCCCTCTACGTATGCCCTCACCCCCTCCCGACCGATACAACCGAACTGCCTCGCCGAAAAGAGAGAGGGCAAAAAAGGAAATGGACGGTTTACAGACGGAGATGACGACCAGTGCTGATCGTGTCGCAACAGAGAGATGACTCGATGCTGACCTTCGAGGCCGCGCCAACACAAGGAGCAGCCGGCATCACCCAGAAGCTCGTGGTGAGTGAGGACTGGTCTGGAGGTCGCTAAGCAGTATGCTGATGTCTACCACTACAGGACCTGCCATTCCAGCAGGTTGAGCACCAAGTCGCAACTCTCGACGCACAACCTAGTAACCAGTCAGGTGGCATCCTGGTCATCGTGAGCGGCGCTCTACTGGTCGAGGCGGAGAAGAGACCTATGAGCTACACCCAGACCTTCCAGCTGCTTCCAGACGGGGCCGGCAGCTACTATATCTTCAACGACATCTTCCGCTTGGTCTACCCGGCAGCTTAGATGCGCCGCGTCCTGTTGGAGTGAGGGACGCAATGGAGTCAGTCGCGGATAAGGATAGGGCAAGGTGCATAGGCTAGCACGTCCTTACGAAATGGAGTGGATTTGAGCTTCTATTCTCAAGCTTGATGCGAAATGCAGTGCTTGACCACTCCTCGCTCGCTACGGCAGCAATGCATATATGTATAGAAACTATGCAGGGCTTGTGTGGTTACTGCTGTTCAAGATGAAAGCTTCGTTTCTGCAGAGTAGATTCACTGATACCCTAACCACAATGGTAGCAAGCCCAGCCTCACATCGCTCCCCCGAGAACTGTTAAACCCGATGCATTAGACCTCACATTTCTCTATCAGGTACTGCCACATGACTCCAGCCCAGCCACTATCCTTCTCTTCGAAGGGCACAACTGGTATTCCACCGCGCATTCCCCTCGCCCTTTGAAACAAATGCAACGGCAATCAGGTCTTTCCTCCAGGCCTGTATCCACAAATCCCGACGACAAGTTGAGAGAGTAACACCTCCCGGTGACCACTCCAACCCGAAGCCTGACTAGGTAGGGACGACAATCCGCTTTGGATCCCCAAATATCAGAACTTTGTCGGCTTTCTACATCTCTTCTGTCGATAAGGTTGAGATCTCGATGTGGGCAATGCGGATATTGCTGCATCACTCGACCTTATCTTGCGGAGAAGTCTTATCCAGCGCTGCAAGGAAGTCTGGGGTACAGCTACGCCTTGGAAGTCTGAATCGACGGGACTACTCCATGCTGACGCGACGTAGCTGAATGGAGACAGAGAGTTGTCCCGGTTTCGACCTCCAGCGAACACATCGCGCAGTATATCTCCCCAGCTCTTGCGACAGTTTTTAGTCGTTCCTTCTTTCGACGTAGGGGATCAGGGCGGAGTTTCGGTTATTGAATGTCCGCTGCGAAATAACATCTTGCATGTCCCTGAGCCTAGACTTCCTCCCCTTGTTCCTGAAATTGTGGCCTTGGAAGACTCACGTTCGAGCTAGTTCATTCCATCGTGGGCCGTGGCCTGTTTTGAACCTTGGCTGGCGAGGTGTGTCACAGCTTTTCGCGGTTGACACAGGGAAGCATTTCGGCTCGGCTCGGCTCGGCTCGGTTCGACTTTCCTCTGACTTACCTCCATCTTTTCCGCCATGAAAACGACACGATCGGCTCAGACCAAGTGTAGAGGTAGGTGGTATAGCACTATGTATCTACACCACTTCGGACTACACCCGAGCCAAAGGCGCCCACCCGACTTTGAGAACCCTGGCGGTACACATGACTGCGCTTCCAGCGAAAGCAGCCACGCCTACGTAGATCCAAGATGCGTCGTAACCACCAGGACCTTGCACTGCGCCGCCGATTGGAGACCCGAAGAGAAGCGCAACTGACATGACTGTGAATGCCATGCCAAAACGCGTCCCTACTACTGCCATGTCGGATGTCAAGCGCACAAAGATGGTGGGCTGCATTGCGAAGAACAAGCCGCTGAAAAACCCATACATGATGGCAACAACGTAAACACTAGCAAGGGCATTGGTCCCAAGAAACCCGAAGCCACACGCCCCCAGTGCAACTGTTGCCCCAATGATCATGTTCAGTGGTCCCAAGTACTGCGCCAATAGCGCAGGCAAGATTCGTCCTGGAATTGAACCCGCATTCATCGCAGGGACGATGTAGAAGCCGACATTCTCGGACGCGATACCCGACTCAATCGCGAAGCTTTGCACGTAGAAGAATGGTGTGAACATGCCAAGGAAGACGACGAAGCAGGCCAGAACAAAGAAGATGTATGGCCAGTCTTTCAGCGAAGCAAGGTCCAGGAGACGTCTTCGATTCTTCGGTTTCTGCGGAACACGGAGGAGGAGGTTCGCGCTCGAGAGTAGCACCAATTGTACGAGAGCGATGGCACGAACAGTCCATCCAAATCCCACCTGATTTATCAGATTCCTGATCATGATCGGGAGGACAACCCTACGGGATAAGTCAGTCTTGCTGCTCACCTCATCCCAGAGTCTCGCGCAAAAGGACGAAGCATTGTCTTTACTCACCCTCCGAATCCGCTTCCAGATGCGGCGATACCATTTGCCAGAGGAAGACGATATGTGAACCACAACGATGGAATCGCCACGCTCAGAACTCCCAGACAACCGCACCCAATCCCTATACACACACCTTGAGCAACCTCCAACTGCCACAGTTCAGTGCAGAAGCTCTGTGCAACAGTTCCGGCAACGATCAGGAGGGAGCCAATCGACAACAAGTGTCTGCTGTAACCAGCATCGTACAGTGGACCCGCAAAGAAGCCGAGGAAGACGAGCAGAAAGCTCTGCAGAGATCCCACGGTCGATATCGCAAAGGAACTCTCAGACGCGAGCAAATCCGACTCGTAGAAGGCTTGGAAGCTTCCGAAGCTCGCGAGGAGGCCTAACACGTTTTTGTTGTTTGTCAGCGCAAGTCAGCCATGCTTTGAGTTTGGAGTTTGTTCTAACCCCAGGTGTTGAAGTAGAGGCACCAAGCACCCAGAACCTGTGACCACGCTTGGAAGCCTGAGTCCTTCTGTATCTCAACAGGTGCGTCTGGGCCTGGTCGAGCCTTTTCTGACCCCTCGTCCTGCGAACTAGACATTATCGTTGAAGCTGCTACAACGATGTGGTAAAAGATTCAATAATTATGATCATGGATTGGTTGTGATGGCACAACAAAGAAAACTCTCTAAACAGGGGAAAAAGCAAGAAAATGTTTAAAAAGGCAACCGGGCCCATCTCGTTCGGCTCTTAGGAGAAAGTCGGCTAGAAAAGAGGATCAGTAGTTAAAGTAGCGTTGCATTGCACGAGCGCAGGGCGGCACTCGCTCGCTGCCTTCCCCTGCCCCTGCCCTGCCCTGACGTTCGCGATCGACAACCAGACGGGGCATACTAACTTAGTACTGCAGGTCGTCCTGCATGCATTATACATACTTGTACATGTACGCACTATAACATATCCCAGCTTTCCAACCGAACTTGGCACTCGCCGAAACTAGTCTTAGAAACTTACCCACCCCCTACCTTTTTTATACAACCCTAGAAGTCTGTAGGTACATCATGTAAGTGGAGACCCTCGTTTAGTTTTTTTTTTGTGTGAGAATAATGCAAGACATCATCCACGCTAAGATAGATACCAGGTATGATTATGCATAATAGGCGAAAAGCTACCTAGAAAGACAAGGGGTTTTTTTTTCCAACCAATTGCGTCATTTTCTTTTTTATCCTAAGTCTGGACGCTTACCTAGGAGGTACTACTACCTGATGTACCTAAGGTAGGTACCTATCTATCTACCTTAGGTACTAGAGCTAGGTAGGTAGGTAGGTAAACCAAAGAAGAAGAAGAAAAAAAAGAAGAAAAAAAAAAGAAAAAAAAAAACTCGCTACGGAATTTTCGCGAGAAGAAAGCAAGTGGTTAAGAAATTAGAGAGAAATGGACAAAGATAAGCAAAAGAAAAAAACCCCAAAATTGTCCGTCTATGCTACCAATGCATTCAGTTAGAAGGAAAAAAAAACACCCTCTAGCGAGCCATACACAGTCTTTTCCTTTCCTTTCCTTTCCTTTTCTTTCCTTGACCTTTCTCATCATCAAAGTCGGCGAATACACATATGTGCATACATATGTACCCGTACGCCCCGCCCGGTCCCGCCACGCCCTTTTCAAAAATTCATAGGGCTGAGGTTCTCAGGTATGTAGGTACCTACGTAAGGTACATACCTGTACATACAGTAGGTAGACCTTGACCTCACATGTAGGTACATAACGCAGTGGACCTTGCCTAGGAGGTAGGTAGGTAGGTACCTAGTAAGATGTACCTACCTACCTAATTGATGATCTGGAATCCCTTAATTCAGGGTTCATTCGGTCGGCACGACCTATGCAAAAACTGCTAGAGAGACGGGATGATGAAAAAGAAAAGTCTTGGTACACCGAACGGACTCCGGATCTGCCCTGCCCTGCTCGAATTGGTAAGGTACGGTACGGTATGGATGGGGTCTGTCCATCCGTCCGTCGGGTGCATCAACCAACTACCTTAAGGTACCTCCTACCTAGATACGGGCCGCTTTTCGGCGTATCTTCATCAGAGAAGAAAAAAAAAGAAGGTTCGGGCTAAGGTATCTGCCGAAATCCTACGGGTGATCCGAGATAGCAGGCTATCGCCGACCACGACGCGGACGAGGAGAAAGACATAGGGCTGAGAAAGGGAAAATTCAGGTCGTTGCTTTATTCACAGTTGCTATATTGAAGTACATTATACACACACTTGCCATCCATCACTTATCTTATCATAATCAACCTCTTAGTGACTTTGACAGGAATGACTTGGAGTCTTCCTCTGTGCCGACGTAGCCAATGTACATGTCTGGTCTGACGACAACGACAAGCTTCTCGTCTGGCTTGACTTGCTCACATTCGAAGGTCGGCGCTCCCGATTTCACGGCGCCAGAGAGGCTCTGCCCAGTGGGGACAATGCAATAAGGCTTGACCTTGTCCTGGAACTCTGACCAGGAGTTTTGAAGTGGGCCGCCAAGGGAGATCACCAGGAACTTTCCGTACCGAACAGTACTGTACAGCCGTTGTGGCTCCGTCTGTTCCGCGGATTGAAGGACAACGTCGGGGCATCGTCTACCAGCTTTCCATATGCCTTGTTCGGATTCGGTCACCAGAGGTGAACCGATGGCGTCGTAGGCCACGCCCATTCCTACACGATCGTCAGTACCTGTATCTGCTTTCTGGGGGATGGTCTTGGCGACATACCGGTGATGTAACCTGCGCTCTTCTCGATATAGCCCACATACTCCTTGGCGGTGTTCATGGTCTCCCTGACTAGTCGCGCGGCAACATTGATGACGTCCTGTGCTACCGTTCTTCGCTCAATGTCGTAGCTCTTGACGAGTGCGCTTGCTGCCTCGGAGGAAACTGCATCAGCTTTGGTGGCCAGAGACAGACGCCAGGCCAGAGCCATCGCGTCCGCAATACCAGTGTTGAGACCTTGGCCACCGTTTACGGCATGCACGTGTGCGGCATCGCCACCGAGCAGAATGCGCCCCTGGCCTTCTTTGGACACGAACGAGGAGGCAATGCGCTCCTTGACTACATTTTCATCAGCTCAGCGACAACAAAGCTAGGGGAGCTGGAGCATCTTACTCTCGAAAGTGCTGAACCATTCAGTCTTGACGAACTCCACCCGATGGGGAGCCATGTGCTCTCGAATGGAAATCTCTGCCTTCTCCTGAGTGATCTCGCCATCCAGCAGGACGTAGAAACGTGCCATGCCACGCTCACGAGGAATCCATGATACTCTGGACTGCTCGTTCAGCTGGAATGTGATGATTTCCGGGCAAAGCGGGAAGTCGGTATCGATGAATGTATCCAAGACGGCCCAGGTCATTCCAGGCTTGGTGCCAGTAAAGCTGATTCCTAGTGAAGTGCGGACCATCGATCGCGCTCCATCAGCTCCAACAGCGTACTGAGCGCGAATCGTTCGACCAAGGTTGGTGGTCACAGTGACGCCTTCGCTGTTCTCAGCAATCGAGGTTGCGGTCTCGGCGTAATGGACTGGCGTGTCGAGTTGCTTCTCCAGGGCTGCTTCCACATCGGGTTGGCCAATCATGAGGAAGCACTTGTGGAGGCAGTGCTCAAGTCCAGTCCACCAGTGGCTCTGGCGCGACTTGAAAACACCAGCTTCAAAGGTTGAGCTCGTGTTGCATTCGATGCCCTTCTCCCGAAGTTCCTTGAGGACTCCAGCGACCTGGAGATACTGCTGTGTTCTCGCGTTGAGGGCATCGGCACGACCAAGCTTGAGAGGTCCGGATTTGGGATCTGCCAGCGGGTTAGGTGTGGCGATTGCCAGACAGAGCGCAGTCGAACTGACCGATGACTGAGACTGAGTTGCCAAGCTGACGCAGCAACATTGCAGTCAGAAGTCCAGTTGGCCCACCTTTCCATTGTTAGTCAACGATCCTGACGTTTGTTTTGACGACGTTGACTGACCTCCGACGATAACCACATCGACTTGTTCATCTTGGACAACAGGGAGGCTACCCATTGTGGCTGCGTTGAGTATGACTGACAAAGATTATGCTGAAGAAGATTACACTTGCGCGCGTGCGAGGATGGCCAACAATTGCAGAGTGCAAAGGCAGGATATTGTCGAGATATCTATCGAGAACGTCCGGGTACCATATCTTTTTTTACTCGCTCGTGCCATCGTCAAAGACATGCGTAGATCCCACTGCGGAATCTTCCGAGGATGGTTGGCAACAGACGCCTTGCAGCCGAGCTACGTGCGAGAGAATGATGTAAATCTAGAGCGCCTAAGGTACCTACTACCTAGTCGCGTGCAGTGGGTCGAGCTGGTTGATTGCGCCACGTGTGATCGTCGTCAGGTCCTGCCGCTTGAGGACCTTCTGGAAGGAGTCTTTACAACCGCCGTCCAGGTCCGTGCACGCCCGCGGCACGCGTCTTGGCTAGATGGTGACATGGTGTGGGACTAAGGGCCACCCTTTGAGGGCGCGATACGACAATCCAGAAATAATGCAAGTTGGAATACACCTAGCGCAAGGACTTATGGGTCGTATGGGTCTTGGCTTCGCCTCGTTGTTCCGTTGATTTTCTCTTTACCTTCAACCAGGTATACGCCTTTTCCTTGACATACTCTCCACGGCGTCTCATGTCACGACGGTAGGGATCCGAACTGTTGATTGCGCTGGTATAGTGAACAATACCCCACTTGACGAAGTCGGCCGAAATACCCCGATTATGATCGGAGAAAGTTTGCCGAGAAGCGAAGTAAGACAAGGGTCTATTGAGAAGTGTCTTATCGGCGGCTAGATCGATGAGGCTAGAAACGGAGAATCAGCTGTCCAAGTACCTTAGTCGTCTCAATCGGGCTCGATGTCTAGGGGCACAATCGCTTATCCCACCTAGAGAATGCTTAGCGCGTCTCGTGTCGCAAAGTTGCACTACTAGTAGACAGTGAGTAAGCAGCGTCGGAATAGAGACTAACTGCAACCAATCGAGTAAGCGGTACTTTCACCGTCAACTTGCAACCAGTGCTTTCAGTGATCAAACAATGCCTCGGACCTATTTGGTGACATTCGATCGATGCGTATCACGGCATATGAGGTCACAGGATGCGTATGGTTATATTGATCGCACCAGGAGATGTGTACCGAGCTCGAGCACCGCTGCATCGAAGTGGGGCTGTATGTCCATAGTTTGCGTCAGGTGTGGTTAGTAGATCAGTGTATGGACTCCGGTGAATAGTCGTGGTGGTGGTGTCTATAGCCGCGATGTGCATAGCCAGCTGGTTACATCTCGTTTCTATCAGGCACCGGCTGTTTTTCCGGCCTATTCAGCCTCAAGAGCGAGCGCTACAGTCTGACAGGCTATTACCATCCACACGGAAAGGGAGCAAGAGGCAGGAAGCGCAAAGAGTCGATTCGACACGGCCGTTCATCAGGAACGGCGCGCTCTCCCCTTCACCCCTGCAAGTGCGACTCTGCGACTCTGTGATCTTTTCTGTGCGAATGTGCGAAGGGCCGTCCTCTAGCAGTGCGCGGCATCGCCAAAGATATCGCTAGCTGTAGGCACCGGCGGGTAGCTTAGAGAAGTGCATACGTGCACATAGCTGAGATGTTGCTAGTAGTGACGTTGAGGGCGGCGTGCTCAGGGCGGCGTCCTCGGAGCGGCGGCTAGTGAATGTGTTCTTTCGGTGCCGGGCGATGAGTGTCGACAGCGGAATGAAAGGTCGTTGGCGTTGGTCAGCACTCGCGGAGGATTGGTGATGGTGTGGAGAAAGGTGCGAAGGTGAAGGTGTAAAGAAGTGATGCGCAGGAGCCGGAAGCTCCCGAAGGCAGGGCGGGCCGAGCAGAGGCCGGACCAAACAACAACCAGGCCGGGATATGCTAGCACTACTTTTGGCAGAGTCGGCTCAGGCCGCAGCAGTGTCCCAGTCGGGTGTAGAGAGGTAAGGTAGACCAGAGCGCCAAGGCTGCCGGCTGGGCCTGCTTGTTTTTTTTCTCTAAGGGTCGCGGGAGGGAAGGGACGTCAGTGCAAGTGCAGGCACATCTGTCTCACTGCCGCTTCGCTCCTGCCATCCACGTCCACCTTCGCTTGCTTGGCCAAATGGGCAACCTACCTTACGCGTGCATCCCGGGTGCGCCTCCCGTCTGCGGCCTGCGGCACATGGAACTCGGGAAGGGACCTGACCTGAGGTAGGAGGTAGGCGGGGGAGGTAGGTACCTGACTCTGGCCTTACCTCCAAGTGTGCGGCTGCACGCGGTTCGCATCAAGTGAACACCGCAACCCACTTCGGTTCATTTGGCACGCACGCACGCACGCATCCGCCCACCCACCCACCCCTCCACCCAGCGCTGCACTCCACTGCCTCTTCATCGCGAATTCTATGATGCAGCCGGCTGGCGATGACACCTCATCTGGACATTGCGACCGAAGCAGTCATCGCGCCGTGGTCCCTGTGGTCCATGCGAACTGCCTAATGCACGCTGGGCGACCACTAAGCGAGCGTTTCTTGGTATAGCTATCAGTCAACATGGCGACAGGCTCCGTCAGACCAGAAAAGATAGCCTGCGCACTGCAGCCCGCCAGCCCGCCATCCAGAAAGTATATCAATGCGCACATGCGCCGTGAGGAAAGAAGGCCATTCATCCAACCAACCAACCAAGCAATCGACCACCTGACCTGAAAGCCACGCATCTCCTCTCCTCTCCGTCGCGACACAATGCCAGGCCGTTCCATCTCTGTCGATGAGCGCGACATCGAGGTCGAAGCCCCTCGAGCGCCGCTCAAGGCTGTCTCCCACGCAACTCCCTCTGAGGCTGCGCACGAAGTGAAGCCCACCACAACAGAGACACTAGTGGATGGCCCTACCGATGACAATCGGGCACTGGCTTCGCGCATCTTCGCTATCATCAAACGATACAAACTTCGACCCAATGAAGAGGAAGTTCCAGAGGCAAATGCCAGATTCATCGACCAGATCTCCGCCAAGATTTCGGCGTCGGAACCCATCTTGATGTGCCTGCCTGCATTTCCCTTCAAATCACCAAATACTAGCCTGAAGGTCCTGGGAACGCTTCCTGACAAAGCGGAGGAGTTCGCTCTTGCCCACATGAATGGCATGTGTGCTGCCATCACCCAAATCTACACACCAGGTGCTGGTCTGATGATCATCTCCGATGGTCTTGTCTACAATGGTACGTGAGGCCCTGATTGGAACAGCGATCCCGTGCATGGCTAATGGATACAGACCTTCTCGGTGTTCCGGACAGCTCCGTCTGGGCCTATGGAGAGACTCTGCGCTCGATGGCCGTCGAAAAAGGCTTCAACCACATCCAGTTCTCGCGACTGAAGGACCTCGCCCACATCAACATACCAGATCAGCTGGATCAGATCAAGTACATTTCGAACGCGACCAACTTTCGCCATGCCTTGCTCTCGCAATTCGGAAATCCAAACTTCGACGCCTCGGCGAAAATACACGAAGATGACGATACCTGCCTGACGTATCGGGGCTATATTAAGTTCCTGATGACGGACTTGCAAGACGTATATCCTGTGGGAACAAGCATGTCAAAGTCTCAATACAAGAAGGGCGTCGAATATGTGGCCAAACAGATGCTGTTCAGAGGTGATGTGAGTCGCATCTTTGCACTACCTTACTCTCTCTTGCAAACAGGACTTGTACTGATCTTGCCTTAGGCTTTTGCGAGTGCGGTGAAGGCGACATTCTCCCACTACATCCGACTGTCGATCCACCCGTCCAATGCATCCTCGGACAAGAAGATATCTATCAGCCCGCTGCCTACCGACACATCTTTCTCTACGCCATGGCATTGCTGCATCGCATTCAGACTCGACGGCACCACGACTACCGGCCATCGTGCGGATTTCGAGGCCGACGACCGCTATGAGCTCGTACACGAGAACGGTAAACCCAGCTTCTTCCGAGAGAAGACCGATTTGCTTTCATGGGGCCAAGAGCGTGGTGGCATCGACTGCGAGCCTTTGTATCCAGCTGGACTCATGATTCGACCCCGCGCTGGCGCCAATGCTCTGTCGATCAAGGACGTCGATGGCCCGAAGCTGCGTGCCTTGGCACAGCTGAACTCGCCTGTCATACTGCGTGACTTTGCTCAAACACGAGACCGGGAGCTTTTTGTCCAAAAGTCGTACGACCTCGGCGCACCGACTAGCTGGAAGTTCGGACTGGTCTTGGAAGTCAAGGACGCTGGAAGCGACAGCCGCGGACTCAACAACGTGCTGTCCGCCGAGTGGATGCCCTACCACTACGATGGACTTTTTAAGACCGAGAAGCGCTCGCTTCCGGATGGATCCGAAGAGCTTGTTTCGACGCCACCACGATTCCAACTGTTCACATCCGTGACCAAATCACCACCCAACACCGGCTACACACTCTTTTCATCTTCTACCTTGGTCTTCCGCCACCTGCCGAAAGATTTGCCCGTGGAGCGTCTGCGAAATCTGACTTGGAACGTGTCAACAGCATCATTCAACGCCACCAAACTTCGTGGGCTGCCTCTTGTGGTAGATCATCCAGCTACCGGTCAGCCATGCTTGCGCTTCCACGAGCCTTGGCCACAGTCACGCACCGCTTTCGAACCCACCCACATTGAGATTGAGAACGCTGGAGACGACGAGAAGTGGGACAGCGAAGCCATTTGCAACGCCTTGACCGACGTGCTGCATGATCGACGTGTCGCGTATTGGCACTCGTGGCAGAAGGGTGACTTGCTCGTCAGCGACAACATTTTGGCCCACCACACTCGCAGCGATTTCAACGCTGGTAGCGATCGGGAGCTGTGGAGAATCCACTTTGATTAAGCGCATGGCGCATGCTTGTCGCATCAATCGGGACCGTGCGGGGGTTTCCTCTTTCCAAATATGCATACTGTTCGGGAGTTGTGTTGTGGTTTTCAAGCTAATTTGTATGTGTATGTATATATATGTGTCAGGCAAACAGTATACAATTTCATGAAGCACAAAAAGTTTCCCCTCATCTCTCCTCATCACTTGGCGACCATGTACCTTTCCATCTATCGGTAAGAAGCAGGATCCACTGTACGTCCCGCTTGGTCGCAATCTTCGGGGTTGTTCCCCACATTCTGGGCACATGCCGAGTAACCCTCGACATCAGTGTACACTCCACTCGTCCCATCAGGACTTCCCTGCTGCAGCGCACTATTCAACACACTCGAACCACTCGCACCCGGACCCAACGTGACATTTCCATTCACAAACACAGGCTGCGCAGTAGCATTATTAAAATAATACGTATTCCTCTGGCACAATCTACTCGGCAAGATGATTGGCTGGTTAATCAAATGTTTAAACGTGCCTGCACTGTAGCGAGGTGCATTCGTGGATGCGAAAGTGCTGTCGAAGGCTTCTGGATAAACTCCTGGACCGGAAATCGGGTTGGGAACGATGGCCCAGGCGACTTTGGTGCTGAGGAGTCCTGCGCCGGCGGACTGGTAGGCGGCGTTTTGCGGTTGGAATTGACCTAGTCGGACGGGGTTGCCGGCGAAGAGGAGAGGGGAGGCGACGGCGGGGACGAGACCGTTGGGGAGAGGACCGTTTTCACCGGCGACTGATTGGGGTTAGTCGTTTGCAGTTGGAACAGATTTACAGGAAGGAAAACAAAAAGGGAGAAGACGGGACTTACTGTATGAACTGGCCTGCGCAGCCAAAGGAGTCGAACTTCCACCCTTGGACACATACGTCACATAAATCGTTCCCTGGGGAAGTGCCCCATCGATCTGCAGAGCCGAAATTCGAATATCATCCGTATACCCCGTCGTAACCAACACCGGTTGATAACCGCTGGGGAATCCATCGGGAAACACATTCGGGTCCGAAGGCACATCCAACAAAGTCAGGCCGTAGCCCGGAAAACTGGCGTCTACGGCTTTTTGTGCGGCGGCTTTGGGCACGGGGACGATGAACCAGGTGGAGTTTGAACTCATGGTGCGGAGATTGGGGTTGAAGGCTGCCACTTGGTTGTTGCATTGGGCAGTGGTGAGGGTTGCGAGACTGCTGAGTGTTGCCGCGAGGGCGGTGGCGGAGGGGAGGTAACGCATGATGGGCGTTTAGGATGGGGGAGAGCGAGTGGTCGGTCCCAAGGAAGAGATGGGGGAGTGAGGGAATGAGAAGAAGACAGAAAGTTAATGGAGACCAGGTTCAAGAAGATAAGATCACATAATATATTATATACTCTCCCTCTCTCGAGAAACAAGAGGCGGAATTGTGTCCAGAAGGGCGCCACTGAAGTCACAGTCTGCTCCAGACGAGTCATCCTCCCGCAGTAATGCAGCTGGGAAATATCTGTCATTGATGGACTGCTTCCTGGTAAACACCACGCACGCACGCACGCACGCACATTAGACGGGAGAGATGACAGGAAACACGTTGTTGTGGATGGGTGATGATTATGATGATGATGCCGCGTTTTGAATGAAATAAAAAACTATAAGAAACCGGTTACGGAAACACGGAATAGCGAATGGTGAACATGTACCTACAGGTACCTACCTGCAATTTCACATGTATCTCTCCCTGTCTCTCTCTCACTCTGCAAGGCTGCAGCTTCATCATCATCATCATCGAATCAGAATCTTTGCATCCCCATCTTCTCGAACGGCCAGTCTCGATCCGCACGCATCACAAACGTGGGAATTTCGTCGATCTGCCCGGCTGGACCTGAAGAGGCTGAAGCTGAGAGGAGGATCCCGCAAAGACTAGCCAAAATTTAAAAAGAAAACTGGTCCAGTAAGATGTCATTCGCGTCGATTTAGCGTAGTTTCTTAATCAAAAGTGTAAAAAAAAGCTCTTGTGGGAGAAAAGTCTCTTTTCTTTCGCGTGGAGAGAAAGGTCCTTGGAGTGTATGTGTGGCGTAAAAAAATGTTTTGTTGGTGTTTATTAACCTCCGCGAGAGGTACCGAAAAAAAGGCCAAGAGAAGATGAAGTCTATAGGAGGTAGATATCTAGATGGGTATCGAGGGCGAAAGGCTCTAGATTCACTTACTCTCCGATTTTCTCCAGCGGCGTTTGGAATCCTCCGATTCACTTCATAAGGTACATATAACTAACTAACATGAGCGGAGGTGTGCTCTTGTGGCGTACATGTACCGTACACGCACTTTGATGCAGGAACGACTCTAGGAGGTACCGGCCGCGGGAGAACGATGACGATCCATCGGAGGAGGTACATGTAAGGTACATGTACATGTATATACCTGTTTGACTCGTCAACTGCCCCGGTGTGGCATCCGAATATGTGCAGGTTTCGCATTGCAGTCCTCTAATGTGTACCTACATGTACCTACTTAAACAGTGTCAATCAATCGTGAGAACAGGTATCAGAGGCATCACATGAATTACTGAATTATACAATTATCAACATCTATCGTAGTGCTCGAAGTCGGCGTAATGCGTCGTTTATACGGTATGTTTCCGGAACAATCTGCCGTGCTCTGGAAAGACTCACCAGTTATATCGGCGTGCCGGCGACCTGTCAGAATGAAGTTAGCGAACTGTTTTGTGTGGATATGCCGTCTTGACGTGTACTAGGACACACCTTCATCGGATGAGCTTCCGTGTTGAAGACAAACATGTTGTTGCCGTCGTTGCTGACTTGATACTCTGCCTCGGGAGCATGGATCAAATAGCTGTACTTCTGTAATATTCACAATCCAAGGTCAGCAAATAGAACATTTCTCTCTTGAGCTTCTTGCCTGGGTAGACTCAAAAGTTTCCATGGCAAGAACTGAACAAAAGAAATTATGCGACTAACCAGCACTTCGGCAAACCAGAACGATTCCTGAAAGTCATCAAACCCGCCACCGCCGGGTGCGTTCACGTCGAGAATACTAGAATACCCGGACCCTGTGCGACAAGTCTCGTTGATCGCCACAAAAGCATTCCAGGAAAAGTCTTGGTATTTGCGGTCGCCGGTGGCACGGTATGCGTAGTAAAAGCTCTCAATCACCTCCGGTCGAAGGATGTAGGCACCGTTATTGATCCAAAAGCCCGCCCGCTCGTAAAATTCCGTCTGGTTCGCCGGCAGGCTGGTCACGTTCCAGGAAAACGACTCGGGTCCGATCTGTGTGAGTGTCTGCGCGTACGTATCCTCGCAGGAATCCACGAGCTGCAAGCCGAAATCGATGTACTTTTGCTCTCCGAGCACTATGCCGCCCAAGATGAAATTGCCGCCATCGAAGCACGCCAGATGCTGGCTCGAATTGATGAGGCGGTGGCCGTTGTAGTCGGCGAGGAAAGTCAGGTCGGGACGCGAAGTGGGGTGCGATGCCAGATACTTCATACTGCTGTCCGCAGCGAGGACCCAGCGGTCCTTGTACGTGGCAAAACGGGATGTATCATAGACGTACATCTTGATGAGATACTCGTAGAAGGAGTCAGTGCCTCCTGTCCAGGCCCCGAATGCATCTGTAAAGGAGCCGTTGCTGATGCTGATGGAGGAGCCCACGAGTCCCGGAAAGGGCTCTGATGATGCAGGACGAGGGTTCAGGGCGTAGCTTTCTGCTCGCGCGGCGAGCTCTCCATAGGACAAATCACCAGTAAGATCAGACAGTCGCTGCCACTCCAATATCAACGTTCCGATGGTCGCGAGACCATTGGTATCTTCCCCATCATTGCTCCGGTTTCCCACGTAAATGTTGTTATAGGGAATGCCAGTAGGAGTATCAAAGGCGAAGCTGAGGTTGTTGGCGAGATTCTGCGCCTGAGATAAGAGACAGGCGACCTTGTTCTTGTCATCTGCGAGGTCACTCAGAGGTCCGCTCAGCAAGTCGTAGCCTGAGAGTAGACCGCCTAGATAGCGAATAGTGGTTTCGAATAGAGATACAACCTGGTCCTCATAGCTCACACTCCAATCGATTGTCGGAACATAATCCAAGATCTGATTTACAATCGTTTTCTCTCCCATAACCAGAGCAGTAGATAGAGCGTCTGCTGCAGACGCGCCCCATCCATTTCTTGAATTGCCGAAACTGTTTGTGACAGGATAGAGCTCGTCGTTGGGGAAAGCATATCTATACCATATCAGACGTGCGTCCGTCGTCTCTGTAGCAGTCCCACTTACTGGTAATATCCTGCCCAGCTGATTTCAAAAGCCTTCTTCACCGCATCCGCTCGCTCATTCGCCTCTGCACTTGTTTCTGCTCCACTCGGTGGTGGGTAACCGCCATTTTCATATTGTGGTTGTTGAGCAGTAGCGATGGACACGGCACTGAGAGCCAACAAAGAAGACGAGTAGTGCATGCTGTAGGCAGATTACGGGACAGACGCACGAGGGTGTCGAAAGAGATGTATGATAAATTACATGTATATGGGCCAAAAAAAAAGAGAGTGTGTGTGACCTCTTGAACGAATAGCAAAGTGTACCTACACAAGCAAGAACTATACGCACCTTCTGAGGAGCAGCATAAGATCGCCCGGTGCATCGCATCGCGTGCCATCGTCGCCTGCCTATCCCAGCCTAGGTGTCTGCAACTTTATTACAGATGATCTTCGGCGTGGATGCAGAGCTAGAGTTCTAAGCACAACAACAGCAAACACGCGCAGTTCGTGTGCACTGCGCGCACTTGCATCCGGCATGCAGACGTTCGAAGCCCATGACTTGCGTGCAATCACGACGGGAATAGGAGGGGAGGGGGAGGGGATTCCGTAGTGGTTGCGATGTGAGTGGGCGCAGGACGAGCTCGGTGCACGAGACGGAGGGTGGAAAGCAAGATGATGAACATGACCAGAAGCGCGTCAGGGAAGGTGGAACAGTAGCAAGAAGTACTTCCCAGTGAAATGACTGACCGTCTCTCGGTCCGGGCACGGGAGGACCGCAGATCTTCATGTGGAGTGTCAAGTGAGTTTCAGGGGAGACCTGAGGAGGAGGAGGTGGTGGAGTTCCCGATATTGCATACATCCTACATGCACTTCGAGCATAACCGAGGATCTGCGCATGTGATGGTCGTGCGGCGCTGTGTGCGTGGACGTGCCCTGGCGTCTGGAGGATGTCGTGAGGTGCAGCGCCCGCTGTGCTGTTTTTGAGCTGCCAGGAATATCAGGTACCGTCGGAGCGGAAAGCATGCTGTGCGGATCCAAGGTTTGCACGCTGAGTACAGGCTCCCGCAGTCACCGGAGCTTTTGGGAGCTAGGAACCCTCAGATCTGCTACAAACCCGTATCCAGACGCCGCGAGGCATGGTTTTCGGGACGACAAGTTGCGGTCGCTACTCGATGGCGCGGAGGGGTACAAGCCCGCAAGAGACAATGAAGAGTTGGTTGGATCGTTGGAAGAGCTTGTCTCAAAGGATATCACACCGCGGCAGAGCCACGTGAGGACAGCGTGCACACTGCAGGACTGACTACGGCCACGAGCACGAGTTACGTGAGACCGCCTGGGCTGTCACACCAGCCATTTGTTGAGCTCATCAACAAAACATTGCAGGGAGGCCAAGAACAGGAGCAGAGCCACGGCAGGGCGCAGAGGAGAGGCATTTATAGAACGAGCGCACCAGGCACGAGCGTACTGCTTGCTGTCCACCTATATACCTAGGTATGCATCAGTCTAACCCCTCGGGGGACGATTCATTGACTTCGCCCAAGTCTTTGGTGAGACAGGCCCGTAATAGGTGACTTTCTCTCGTTTGCGTTTTCCTTTTCACGCAATGATGACCTAGGAGGAAAGAGAGGAAAAAGAGGACGCTGGCGACGAATTGTCTGAACCAAGAAAGCCTCACTTGGCTGACTATGGATGCATCCGTGGTACGGAACGATATTGGGATGAGGACTCTTCCTCAGGATTTCGAGAGCCTCCGCTTCATCAAGGAGCATTTGAGGCACCAATGCGGCAGTATCCTAATCGAGCAGATGTTGCACTTGTGGACGCTTGATGGAAGCAGATTCCCTGGTCCAAGTCATCAGAAGCTACCTTAGGTACCTAACTATTGTAATATGTGGACGGGATTCGGGCAAAGCTTCATCGCCAGGGAATCGGCGGCGACATCCGCTTTGGTTCGAATCACAGATGTACGATCAGGTGGACTGATAACAGATGCAGAAGTACATATAGTCATCATGGGAAAACAAATCGTCCCGTTGTGGTAAATATGCCGAATTGGAACGCTATTCCTGGACCGCGGCTCATTTGTGCGAGAGAAATCTCAATATCATCGACACTCGCACTTCTCGCCGATGTTGGATGAACCTTCTTCTGTGGCCAAGCGAACTTCTGCCGGCACTTCATCTCTTTCTCTCTCTGGCTTTCTCTGGCGCTCTCTCTCTCTCTTTCTCCCTGAAACTCAACTCTACCACGCTCAGGTACATTGAAGCCAACCACTCGTATCAATGCCGCAATGTTCGAAACCATAAAAAACCGAGATCACGTTGCCACCATTAGGCGCAATGTGCAATGCCGACATCGCCGTGCTCGGTGCGTCTCCGACCTTGGACGTGAGCAGGGAGGCGAGGTGTAAATTCACATACCTACATATATATATGAGGTACCTTGTTGAAGCAGGCGCGATAGAAGTGGCAGTCATTGATCAATTTGAACCTGCCCAATTCGACATACCGTGACATTACCAACACTCCGTCCTCTGCTACCTAACGCACACCTTACGCAACACGCTATCCTCCACCACCCGGGCATTGTTATCCTAAGGTACCTACCTTAAGCTCAGATCGCAACGATCATTCAGCCACCACAAGTCACCACTATGCCGCTCATCGCAAGACGATTTTCAATTACCAATTTCCTCATCGCGACCTCAGCCCTCGGATTCCAGGTCTTCGTCTTGTATCCATGGCACACCAAACTTGACGATGATTTCTCTGCGCTCAAGAAGGAAAACGTCCGGTTGATGCAAGCAATTGAGCAAAGACTACCTCCGCCCAAGGAAAGGTCAATCGTGCCTTGAATCACTACGGATGTAGTTGCCGACTGGGAAGCAACCTGGTAAGTCATAGGTCAGATTCTTCCGCGCACGTGCTTACTTAGTCAAGATGGTGGTGATGCAGCAGAATCGTGGGCCATCGCTCCGCGCACTAGAGCAGGTGATCTCTATCGCCACAAACTCCACCAGCGAAAACGGTGGGGCCCTACTAGGATGAGGAGTCGCGCACAGGGATATCAAGATCATGGCGGCGAATATGATGATATCAAGGCCTGCACACACCTCAAAGCTCACATTGAGACGTGCTTGCTATCCTCGACGGATTGAATGAGCGATCCCTTCCAATAACAGAAAGCGGATCACTCCCGGCGGCGTTTCACTTTTGGAATTTACTTATGCACTTTGCGAGTGGGACCATTGTGCAGATTTAACAATGAATTTGTTCCTTCTCGCTCCCTTGACCTCTTGAATACCGCTCCTGGGCGCATTTGGCTTGTGACTACCCATAGCATTAATCGATGATGACGGCACGTTTAGCACGGATACAACAGAACGGAAGCGCGTCGACGTAGTGGCTGATAAAAACCTCATCATTCCCGTCGGTGGCAGACTCGAATAGAAGATTCTATGGCATGTCAGAAAGGTGCGAAGGTGGTCGAATAGAGCTTGGATGTGGCCCATTCATGAGCTGCTCCCAAGATAGCACAGGGCTATGCAACAATGTATTGTCATGGTAAGTCCTGAGTAAGCTCTATTGAGAGATGTGAGGACAATATGTGGAATGTTCACGAAGCTGCGTGGAGTAGGGTCACTAGCGCGAAATCGCGTTGCCATTTTAATCCTACATGTACCCAGAACTCACATTTCGACAGCACCTCACACCTCATCTTCTTCCCACCAACTGCACAAACACGCTGCTTGCAACATGGCAGACCAGGAGCGCGCAGCCAAGCGGCAGAAGAAGAATATGCCGGACCTCTCGATCGATACGAGAAACACACAAGCCCCCAACATGATCGTCGACGTCTGCCCCGACGGTGACACAGTTCTGGTGGTGCAGGGCCTCGCAGGAGTAGCCAAGCCGTATGTATGCACTTCCTCCACGTCACGAAGCACATGCTAACCGTCACAAGTGTCGGCATTCGAGTATCCTCATCCGCCCTCAGCCTCACGAGCTCCGTCTTCCGCAATCTCTTCGCGGCCGCGGACGGCGACGCACCTCCAACGCCAGCGCCAGATGAGCCGCGGCTGGTACATCTCGCAAACGACGACGGCGACGCGCTCTTCCTGCTGCTCAACATCCTCCACCTTCGAAATGACGCTCTGCCACCGAAAATTCTGCCAGACCTACTCTTCCGCTTTGTCACTGTGTGCGCGCGATACGAATGCATGGTAGCTGCAGGCCGCGCCGTTTCGCAGTGGCTCGATTACATCTACACCCGATCGCTGAAAGCGACCAAGCTCTTTAGCCACGCCGCTGCCCCCAATGCGCCAGCAACACCAGCGACCCCGACACCTCCCACGCCTTACTCAGCCTTTCCTCCCGTCAGCGACTCACAAAGCCTCTTCAAGATGATCGAAGCCACCGGTACCCTCAACGACGCCCTCTACTTCGCGCGCTTCACCGCCCACTTCGTCCTCACCCAACCACTCATCACCGACATCTCCATCGCCACCTCCCCAGCTCAGCAACACCTCGCCCTCGCCATTCAAGCCCGCCAAAGACAAGCCCTTCAAGACCTCCGAGTCGACCTCGACCTGCTCATCGACCCTCTCGCCGAAAGTCTCGCCGAAGACTCCAAGCACTATCACGACTGCGCCCCCGGCGACGAGCCGCCAGAACAACCAAGTGACGACAATGAAACACCCCAATATTGCCCCGTGGACAAAGAAGGCGCTACCGAATTCCTCGCTGCGCTCCGCGACGCCAACTTGTGGCCCGCAACTCGCTGGCCGACTTCCTCGCATGTGATTTCCGGTCCCGTCGGCACCGTCGTGCACGCGATTGAGAATTTCCGAGTCCCCGATTATGACGCGACGGATGCGTGTTATTGGTGTGCGCATGTTGAGGATCGATTTGCTCGTTCGTTGAATCTCATTCGGGCCATGCATAAGGATCGATTGTGGGGTTTGTGTTTGGACTGTTACAAGGCGGGTGGCACGTTTCAAGGGGAGTGTAGGTATGATCATTACAAGGTTGCGAGGGCGAAAGAGGCGGGGCAGGGGGGTGGTGGTGGTGGACAGGCGTCTGTTGGGCCTGTCAGTGTGAGTTCCACGCAGAATAATTAGGCCGCGGGCCTAAGCATCCCATCCATCTCGGGCCCAGCTGAGTTGTACAACTTGAGCCCGAGCCCTAGAGACGTAGTGAAAAGTTCGAGCGAAAGACATTACCAGAGGCAGTGTGTATGCCTACCATACTAATTATATTGCTCGATTACACAATCAATGCTCAGATAGCATGACAAGTGATCCTGCGCCATTGCTGTGACAGGAAAGAAGCATTTGAACGGCGCTCCTAGTTCACCTCGTCTTCCATCTCCACATCATTAGCTCCTTCCTCTTCGTCCTCGCCCGCAACATGATCTTCATCCATCATCTCTGGCAACGAGCATGACCTGTGCAAAGGCTCCAAATCACCATGCTTTCCCTCGCCATCGTCGAGCTGCTCCTCTTCCAGGTCGCTGAGCTCACTTTCATCGTCTGCGTCATCATGTACACTTCCAGGCGCGCTGATGTCGACAGATGTGCCGCCAGGGAGGCTGGATCGTCTGTCCTCTTCGATCAACGTCTGTACCGCAGTAGTGCTCTTCGGCACCACCACGGGAAAGCCAAGGCTGTTGTTGGCGGTGGCTTTGTCTTTGGTGGGATTGGCGGCAGCCTTCAACAAGCACGCTTCGGCCGCAGTTCGGATTTCTCGTCTGCCTACGCCAACCTTTCGACGTACCGGTGCAAGATCAGGTTCAGCAGAAGCGGCCGCTGGAGCTGATACAGAAGCAAGGTCCGCAGCACCATCGACGTTCATGAGGTGAGAGAGGCTCATGGTAGGATTTCGTGCAGGGCTGGTCACCGCAGGAGTAGCATCCGCCAAGCGATGGGCCTCCTCTTCTCTCCGTTGTCTCTCTTCCGCTTCCCAGAGCTGCTTGCCAATCGTGCTGAACAGTTGCGCGTACGAATCGCCAATCAGGTCATCAATCGCGCCGGGCTTCATCAGACCTTGATTGATCTTCTTCAGCTCCTGCACTTCGCGGAGGACATCCAACGCTGGAGAACTGCCAGTTGGAGTTTCCTGCATCCAACTCTCGAGAGGACCTTTTCTTGCTATGAATTCCTCATGGGCGATGTTACTGAAACAAGCGGTCTCGAGCCCTTCCGACAAGTCGGCATGTGTGCGCATAAGGTACAGATAGGCAGTGCAGATGTCCTGCCACACATTGCCGTGCTCGAAGAGGTCATGCGGGCGTCTCCGAACCCTCCGTGCAAGCATTTCTAGACCAGCGCGATCCTTTAACTGCTTGAAGATGTTGACGATGAATCGCGTATATCGAGCAGTGTAGACAAAGTGTCGGCCAGCTCTCTCGTTCTCTGGACGCCAGACTTGTAGTACCATTGTTTTGGTAAACATCTGCGCGGTCAGAACTTCCTTTGCAGCCAGGGCAGAGGCGTTCGGCTCATGTAAGTTGACTTCTTCCGATGATGCGTCCTCATCGTAGACGATCTGGGCATGTTTGGCAATGATGCGGTGGTACCAATTTGACTTGTCTGCAGTACGTAGACTTTTCAGCACAGCAAGAAGATACGGCCTCCAGTCTGCCGGATCCTCGGGGAAGCTTTCCTTGCGAGCGTAATGTGAATGCTCGATAGCTTCCTTCAAGCTGGCGCGATCGAGAGTCTTCTTGCGCCAAAGCTTGTCCACGATAGAAACAAGCTTATAGTGTGGCTCCAGCGTAGGCTCGCGCTTAGAGTCCTTGCTCTCTTTCTTGTCCTTCTCGGGCAGAAGCTCAAGTGCCTTGACGAATGGCTCGACAACCTGAGCGGCTGTCGGCGGTGTATCGCGACCCCTGGTACGCTCGTCGGCGTTGTGCATCTTCCATACACATTTGCCAACCATGTAATGGATTTGCCACTGATCCGGGCGCCCATTTAACGCCCTTTTGAAGAGTACACTGGCCAGCTTCCAAACGGTATAGACGCGAACAGCTTGATACGAGGTCGACTTATGCACACCTGTGTGATTGCTGATGAATATGTTCTCATCATCAATCGCGAATGCCTTCATCGAGAAGGGCTCTCGAGATGAAGCGTACAGCCGCAAAGCAAAATCGTGATATAATTCTGTCATCTTGTTGCATGTCTCCTGCCCAATATCAGCCGAGCGATACGCTAACGCAGTAGCCATAGCGAAGCAGTGGATGGCATATTTCTGCAGCACCACTACGTCTTGCATGGAATTGTTGAGCTTTTCGGCCGACCAGACCACGATTTCTTCAATCTTTGTGTCGTATGCTTGAGCGATGCGAAACCACGTCTCCCAGTGATCCATGGTAAATTCGAGGTCCTGCATGAAGAATGCAATGGCAATGTCGACATCCTCGATCGGGGTCGGTCCGGTGCGTTTCTGAGTACGAAATTTTGTGAGCGACATGTGTCCCATCAAGAAGAACCAACCTTTCGAAGCTAGAACGGCGTCTCCTTCGGGCACTTGAGTGACAGCAAGGTGGTTACCTTCTCCTTTCAGGCAAGAGAACAGGTCCAGTGGTTGAATGTGCGACTTCAGGAACTTTTGTATGATCTCTCGGTTGCGAAGAATACCCTCGCTCGGCCTCTTCCTTGAAAGTGCGCTGTGTATCCTTTCAATTGCATCCTTGAGAGGATGCTTGACCAAGTCTTTGATTGTCAGCTTGCTTGCTTGAGCAAGAAGCAAATCCACGGTCTGTAGAGCAACACCGCGGTCGATGAACGCGTCTCGTATACACTCGTGTTCAATAAGCTCATAATCTGGGTTCAAGAAACACTTGAGACCGTAAAGGTCATACAGGACTTGCGCTTGCTCGCTGTCGTAGCCCTCGACATGCGTCATCGAAAAGAATTCGTCCCTGAGCAAGCGCACAAAAGTCCTGTTCAGACATGAGCAGATCTCGCGAATGCCCAAGTTGCGGTGTACAACACGGAGGAACTCGAAACGGTCCTCTGTAGGACTGGGAAAGACGTCGGGATTCTGCGACATGGCCTCTTGTAAGAGGGCATAAAGCATGATCCATATACGGGTTTGCGTCTCGTGCGATAATTTCAGAACTGATTTGAAAGACTGGAGTGGCATGCCATTCTGGGCCAGTGGCATTGATGCCCCAGGCAGCCTAACACGCATGGGGTCGTATGCGACATTGATGACTTGCAGGAGCTGGAGCAGCTCTCCGAAATTGCTAACAGCGAACCTGATGTAGTCGTCATCCATGCATTGCAGAGAGTCCTTCCCCTTTTGAAAGATGTCGAACAGTCTTTTGACCCATTCCGATATCAACCGAAGACTTTTGAGTATGGTGATGAGCCTCTCCGAGGGGTCCAGAGCGACAATTTCGGACGTTTTGATCTCCTCCAAAACCACTCCCACCATGCGCAGGTAGCAACAGACGACCATTGGATTGTATTCGATCTTGACGTATGCATCGCGCAACCGCTGCCAAAGCATCAGGCGCACTGATATTGGACTTGCTGCGAGAAATCGGACAAGGTCAAGCGGGACATTCGCTGGAGGAGCTTCGTCTCCATCGGACATGCGGTCAACACTGGGACTTCGAGTAGTGTCGAGAGATTCTAGCAATGGTTCCAAGCTCTCAATCACTGCGGCAGGATCAGAACCGTCCTGGCTAGTGACCCGCAAGAAGAAGTCTTTAGTAGTCAGCTTCGACAGCTCACGATCCAAAGCATCGACGGAAACTTCAGGCATGATTGCATTATTCTGAAGTTGGATGACAGGTTCGTCAGCTGCAATGAGCAGTCTCCTCAGATCATGCATGCACTCGATTGCATGTTCCTGTGTCACATCTGCCGAAGCGCTGATGGCGAATGTAGAAGCCCACAGAAACCGAACGCTGAGGTTGTCTTTGACAGCAGCAAAGTCGGGGGTGTTGCTCTGTATAATCATCGCTTCTCTTGACAAATCTGACCAACGTTGCAGGCGATCACCCTGTGTAATGATGGTGTCTCGGCCAACACCACTATCAGACTGTTTGATCAGAGAGTACACATCAAGGTGGAGCTCAAAGATAGACTGAATGAGCTCCGGCATGTCATGGGGAACTGACGCGGCAGAGGAATCCACGTTGTTCTGACATCGTCGGAGCTCGAGAGTCGCTCGCTCGAACAGGGTTTCGTCGAAATTAACGAGGATTCGCACCGCCACCATTTTAACTGGCTCTGGCCATTGATATCTCGTATAGCTGTTTTCGTGATCGGAGAACATTCCCGGTCGTAGCAGAGCTTCGATAAACATCCAGGCAACATCTGCTGCATCAGACCATGACGAGTTTACTGCGTCGAGTAAGTGCTGCAACTGTTCGTTCGGCAAAGCGTCGACTTTCGTCAGCGTTTTGGAGATGCTACCACTGTCGAGAATGTTTGCAGTGCTGAGAAGATTCTGGCTTTGACTGATGTCGAGGTTTTCACCACCGTGTAACAGCAATTGGGCCTTTGATTCATTCCATTGATCCATGAGGCCTTGTATGTCATCTCGCGCGTGACGCAGGGCGACTGTAGCATGTTGTGGACTATGAGGCAGCTGGTGGTCTTCCCCGTTCGTGGACTGCATTTCCTGTCGTACATGTCGGGATGCATCAAACCCGACAATTCCAATGCGCTCGAAGAAGTTCCCCACAGTCTCAAACATCCAGTCATCGGCTGCCTGGATTTCCAGGAGCTTCTGTTCTTTTTCCCAACGTTCATTGGCATCGTCGACTGCCTGGCGATCTCCAGCTAAGTCCACGGTGGAGTCTCGTGCACGGATACGCTTACTCTTTGTTCTTCCTTCCTCCGTATCCTGTATGCCCGCAACATCACCAGATCTTTTTCGCGAAGGCAGGGCTACAGTCGGCGAATGCACCAACTCAGCTTCTATAGGACTAGGACTGGGCGGATCCATACTCGGGTCTGCTGACGCAATCTGAGGCTGAACGGTAGGTCGCCCGTCCCCCATGCCAGGAAACTGCTGTGCCAGTGTCTCTGGATAGACAGTTTGCTTGAGCAGCCTGACCCTAGGTATAATGACCCTGGGGCTACTAGGTCGCTCTGGTACCTGTTGAGATGGTGGTTGAGGTAATGCTTGCGCGCCAACCACGTCGAAAGCGATGGCGCTGCTAGGCCCCGTAGAGGACGTTTCTTGCTTTTCTTCCATTTGCTGTCGAAGCAGCACGTCTCCTAACTCTGCCCAGGTCCGAGGCGCAGGTAAGAGACGTCGCTCCTTCTCGGCAAGCTTAATGATGCGGCCATCCTGTTGTCGCAGTGTATCACTCACTCGGATTACTTTACTATAAGGGTGTAACTTCTGTTTGAGGATTTGTGACAAGGCTCGACGTTTGCTCACCGACAATGGAGCCTGCAAGATGGACAGCTGATCCTGCAGCTGTCCAACAAGCTCTCGCAACTGCTCCGCGGCGAATCCTGTTTCAAGCCCTGGAGACGACAGCACGCTACCAAGAGCCTCGTCATCGGTCTCCAGAACGGACTCCAGGCAGAAGCGGGCCACGCGCTTACTGTCAAGAATTTGGCCAACAGAGGCGGTGCGACGCCACAAGTCCAAATCCGTGTCATCCTTATCCAGTGAATTCACAAAATGTGTAAGTGCGCTTCTGGCATCAACTAGTATCTGGTTGAGCGTAACTTTGAAGGAATCGAATCTAGCAGACAAGGAGTCCAGTTTGAATTGCGCATAGTTCTTATGCGCCAGGTGCAGGATCTGAGGTAGGGTGCTGGGTCCAGTGTCGAAGCTATTATTTGCTGTTACACGTCCGGGAACAGGCCCATCGAGTGGTAGTTCATATTCAGGCGTAGGTCCATACAGCTCGATACGCTGGAGTTCTGTTTGCGATTCGGGATATTTGAAGATCTCGGATTCGAACAATTCGCGATACGCTTTGGCAGCCTGGTCGTAGGAAGCCACACCCTCTGCATGAAGATTCAGCGCAACCTGATAGAGTCGAAGCGCCTCCTCGATCTGGATTTCTTTCGTGTCGTCGACCTCCGTGTCCGACTCGTCATCATATTCGATGTTGAGAGCGTGGAAGCCTCCTGACATGGTGATGGCACCAGTAGATTATATGGCGCTGCGCTTGTTGTTAGCGCTTCCTCCGTTCGGACGTGGGAGGCGCCTTGAGAGCACGTTCCCGGATGGAATTTTGATGTGGTGATGTGGTATAGCGGAGAAGAGAGGTGGTTGGTCAGGTAGTAGGCAGTACGGTGGTAGGCAGAGTAAGTACAAGCGCGTGAAGTGCCAAGTGACGCGTCTGTGATTTACACTAGAGCTACTGTAGACTAGCGTGAGCGGCCCGCAGATCCAGGGCAGCGGGCTCGGGCTCGTCTGGAGCTCCTTGCCGATTGCTCGAGATTCGTGGTGTGAACTGTAAAGACAGACACACTTCGATTTCTGGTGAAGTGATTATTGAACCAACTCATCCTCCTCCTCCTCCTCTTGGCTGCCATTGGAACGAACTAGCACCAGGACACCCGAAGTCTGCGATCCTGATCAGCGCGTTTCCATGCAATAGTGTGCAACAATGGTTGCGACAGCAGTGCCCGAGTAAGCTCCTCACTGGATAAGTTACGGTTGTTGTCGGGGGGAGAGCTTCGAAGCTGAGCAACGACACAGACTCTACGAGGACGACGCCCACTCCGTTGTCGACGTGCGAACCGACAGCCTCCAGACCCTCCGCGAACTCGGCCCTCCTGATCTGGTGCACTTGACCAAGGCTCCCGCCAACAACAAGTCGGTCTCGAAGCAGGTATGCCTCCCTGAGAGTGCGGTGGTGTCGTGTGCCTGGACGCAGGCGTCGTCGTGGATGCGACAATGAGGGAGTGCGAGGTACTGATGGGGATCAATGTCAGGTCGGCGTGTACCACCATGTCACGGGAGTCGATGCATCGTCGTCAGCCAGCTTGGCAGCATACATCAACACATTGACCTACGCTCCGAGCAACAACACCAACAAGGTGATATCGGGCACCTACTGCTGCTACAATGCCTTCTCACGAGTCGACATGCGCGTGCAAGTACAAATACCGGGGACGGTGGAAAGCTATTGTGTGGACGAGCGCGGGAATAAGCTGGAAGCAACAGAAGAGCATTGGCTGGAGACGTATCTATGCAGTGTACTGCGCGCATACTCGTATGCAGACACGGGATCTGGCGATGTCATCAAGCGCATCATTGGCGTCAGGCGGTTTAATCCTGTTCAGAGCACCGAGCAAGAGCAGCGTTTTCTTGACGCAGCAGAGAAGCTTTTCTTCAGTGGTAAGCACGGTGCCTTGGACAGATGGCCAACGAAGCTGACAAGAACCAAGGTTGGCAACTGGGCTCCGACCCAGAGATACAAGTGCCCAATCTCGTGTCCAATCACCTCACATCCGGACTCTTACACTACTTCAAAACGACGGGACGATTTGCATCGGGCATCAATCTTTTTGAGAAGTTGCGCATGCGAGATCCAGAAATCTCCTCCCTCCTCGCAAAGGTATACCTTGCCGCTGACGAAGAGGTGAAGGCGGTACAGCTGCTTCATGAAGCCGTGCAGGAGCTCCCAATGGACTATTCTATATTGGACACGCAGGCGGAATTCTGCAATCGCAAAGGCCGCGCGGATCTGGCATTGGAACTGGCCAAGCGCGAAGTAGTATCTGCACCGAGCGAGTTCTGTACATGGGCACGGCTGGCAGAAGTATATGTCAGCATGGAACGATGGGACATGGCTCTGCTGACTCTAAACTCGTGTCCGATGTTTACATACCAGGACAAGGATGCACCACGTCTACCAGAACCAGTTCGTATATCATTACCACTCGCTCCGGAGACGATATGCGACGAAATTGACGACGCTGGTGCGACACCCGATGCGGATGTAGTACATCCGACACTCAGGAGACTCTCAGCCGGGAATTACAAAGGAACATTCTTGAAAGCGTATATCCTTCTCACGGAAATCACCAAGAAGATCGGCTGGGATCAGCTGTTGAAGATTCGCAGTCAGGTGTTCGTGATGGAAGAGGAGTACAGGCAAGAAAGACAAGGACCTGCGGGCAGCAGAGGCGCTAGCACGACGGCACTACGTGGCAACGACACCCCACAGCCCAACGGTCACGCACTGCAACAAGATGACGAGCAATCCGATCCCGACACGGACGATATGATCAATGCTGAGAACGAGCCCTCAGCAGCGTCGTCGCACCTGGACGCGGATATGTCCAAGCCTACTACTTCAGTCACTGCGCATTCTGATGCCGAAACCTCGCAACCGCAGGCTCCAAACACCGATCCAGCACATCAGCAATATACCCAATTCCAGCATAAGCGACTTTGTGAGCGATGGCTCGATAATTTGTTCATGGTCCTTTATGAAGATTTGCGCATTTATACAATCTGGCGGACTGAGGCATCACAGTACAAGCAACAGCAGATGGCTTATAAGAAAGCCGCCGAGGAATGGGAAATACTTGGTGACCTTGCGGAACGTCTGCATCATCCCGACGAGGCCATTGAAGCCTGGCAAGCATGTCTCAGCATGCGATTTAGCCCCAAGGCCATGCGAGGCGTCCTCAAGCTGTATCAGCAGCAATCAGATGGGCGAGGCATGCTGGGAGCTCTCATACGGCTGATCGCGTGGCAGTACAGATGGTACTCCGAAGTAAGTCCGCCTCCGTGCCACGCATTGAGGAATCTACTGACAAGGCCTAGTTCTCACCCGATCTCCTTCGTACGATCCGCAATCTGATTGAGGATGAAGGTGCGGTAAAGGTTCGAAGCATTGTGCAGGCCACAAGCTTACCACAATCGATACTCGACCTCACGCACAACTATGCGGCGCTCTGTGCGGCTTTCCGGAGTTCTGGGAGCGAGGGTTAGACTCGCCCAGACCTGCTGAAACTATTGTTTAGCAAGCGACGTGAGAGCTTCGTTGACGGCTTAATTCATCTAGCGTAATCACACCAAAACTCACTTGGTGGACGCTACGCCCATGGCCACAATCACTGCCGTCAGCGCTGCGCCAGGTCGTCGGCACATGTCTGTGATGGTGTGGATCACAGCCTGAAGTATTGCAGCCTTGGGTATGATACGGCGACACACAGTGCATACACACTTGGAGGGGCAGCGCGCATGCTCGCTCATCGATCATCGTAACACCCAATAAAAATGGTATCATATCCACGCCACCTCACTCTACTACTATCCTCTTACATGTTACCAATCACATGCCTTGATTCTCCAGCACTCGACGTAAATACTGTCCGAAGAGTGTCACGCACGCTGTCAACACTACGTGAGCCTCCAAGAGGACGAAGAGCAGACCAAAGACGAAAAAGAACGCATACATCACTTAAGCATCACTAAGCGCCGGACACCTCCCCACCCACTTCCTCTCCTCTACCTCCTGCAAAATCCACACTGCCAAACTCTTCCTACTCAAAAGTAACCCATCCCCCCTTTCCCCAATAAACCCCGCTCTCACGGGCCCTGCTGCCGCCTTTGTCAAACCCGGAACCCGAAATACCGTCCACTCTAACTTGTCCTCCTCTTCGTCCCTCAAACCCGTCACAACCTTCCCAATCCCATTAACCTCCTCCCACGCATCCCCAAATAACCAATAAACAAACTGAACCCCCAACCACCATTTCAAAGAAAATTTATCTTCGACCACTCGAAACGAAGGCGTACTCAAAACTAGAACTCGAGAAATCCGAGTTTGAGAATCTTGTTTTATTAAAGGAAATAACGTTTTGTAGAATTCTGTTATCGCGGTTCCTTTGGCGGGAATTGCGGGGCCCGCGAAGGATATGAGGATTGTTGCTCCGGTGTGGAGGGCGCGGGTGAGGGCTGATAGGTCGGTGAATTCTCCGGTGATGATTTGGATTTTTGCGGGGGACGAGGAGGAGGATGAGGATGGCTGGGAGAGGGAATGGATGTGTGGGGGCAGTTTGGAGGGGTTACGGCAGAAGATTGTGAAGGTATTGGGAGAGTTGTTGTTGTTGTCGTTGTTGGATTGGAGGGCAGTTTCGAGAAAGATGAGACCTGATGGGCCTTTTTTGGGGGGTTATCGGGTTAACAGTTAGTTTTAGATATTTACCAGGTATGCCGTATCTTGATGGGACTTTTGCAAGCTGCTGGTGATGGGAGGCAGGGAATGTACATACCTGTGGCTCCGATGACGAGGAAATGCGGCATTGGTATTGCTTTTTTTTTTGTAGATGATTGATGATTCAAGTTGACTTGGGGCTGATTCTTGCAACTCGAGAGAGAGATGACTGGTTGCTACGATCATGAAGTTCGTCGGAGTTGATTGCTTATATACCCTTACCTATGACGGCTTGATTCGTATGCTTGGCACGAACTGCACATGTCGCCTCATTTTCACGTCTTGCATCGAACAGGTGCGGCGTAGGCTCAAAGTACGCGCAAGACACATGGTATGTGCATTAAGAAGAGAATACATTCAAATTCGTAAGCGGGGCGCTTAGATCAGGCCCCCAAAAAATCAAGAGGTGAATGAGAAGCTTCGTACACGAGAGGTTCAGGTACCCATCTCAATTAATCATAATTTCGTATCTGGCTAAAATGTATTCACGCAACTTGTCGAACACGGCCGATTGTTACAGAAGATCCCACTTAGGATCCAACGTATGCTCCCACCGCCACTCCTTACAACTTCCATACCAATGCCTTCCCACGCAGTGTTTCCGCTTCGTGGTTGGAAGCCGCGTTGGACTGGGCGTGACTAGGTTGGTGGTTGGAGGCGATGGGTCTACACAGATGAGGCCGAAGAACTCCCGCGACGTGCAATCATCTTTGTCGTCGGGAGCTGAGGTCGTGGATGATGCATGCGAAGATGTTCTGCTGGGTTTCGGCGTAGCGGACGTGGTGGTACTGGGCTCATCATCACATCCCCAGAAGAACCCGGGCGTGCAAGTGGAAGTCGATTTGGAGGTCGTGGTAATGACAGTCGTCGTGGATCCCGGCGCAGCGCTGGTGGTAGTGATTGTAGCCGCGGAAGTGGTCGTCGACTCGTCTTTGCAACCGAACCAGCCCGGCGTATGGCATGTTGACGTTGACGTACTGCTGGTACTGGAGGTGCTGGTTGTCGTCGTTGTCGTTGTACTCTCGTCAAGGCAGCCAAACCACCCTGGCGTCTTGCATGTCTCGGTCCGTGTTCGTGTCGTTGTGGAAGTGCTGCTGCTGCTACTTGTCGTAGTGCTTTCAGTGCCATTACTTTCGTAGAACTTCCAATTGTAACAGTCCACGCATTCCTCATCCGCTTCACATGTCGGCACTGTGTCATACTTCTCGAGCACATCCTTGATGACATTGACAATCTTGTGGGTTCCAATACCTACTCGCCACCCCAGATCGCCAACTGTATCATACGTGCACGTCTTGCCGGTGTGGCATACACCTTGAAAAGCGTAGCCAGCAATCGTACAGAATGAGGATGCTGCATTGCATGTACCCATGTATATAGGGTCCGCCGTGTGGCCAAAGTGGTGTAGCTGGACATCTGACCTAGATTGGTGCGAGCCGATCTGATAGCCAGGTGGTGTGGGAAGTCCTAGGCGGGACGCGGCCATTGCATCCGGAAATGCTTCAAAGGTCATCGTCGGCAATCCGTATGTCAATCCCAGCAGAGAGCTGACTACTCCTCCTAGAGAATGCCCAGACAACCAGACATCCGAGTTGGGATATCGCTCAGTCACGTTATGGTAGAGGTCTCGCACAGCCCAATAGTAGTGGCTCTTTGTTTGGAGCGACTTGACGAGGCAAGTAGAGTTGCACTGATAGGTCCCTGTCATGCAGTCGCAGACCTGCTTCCACAGATATTGTCCGCCTTGGCCACAGCAGCAAGATCCAAAGAGGTTGTCATTGAGCTTGTCGTTGCCTGTGGTATCGGCACCATCGAATATAGCAGGAGAAGTTCCTGTTGGAACATCAGACACCGAGCAGAAGCGGAATGCAGCAGCCGGATTGACGTACCTTTGAGACCGATTACAACAGTGGAATTGGACTCATCGGCAAAGATGTGCCCACGCAGACCATCGGTCTGCCAGCCAAAATCATCGGTATAGTTGAAGCCGCCCTTAACGGGTAACCACGCTCCGTCCAGTCGCGTCTGAACATATGCGTTCGCAGCCATCTTTGCAAAAGTTATGACGGTGCTCTTGTCGCTAATGTTTGGCCCGGCAATCTCATCTGAAGTCCATGCCGACGCTGGCAAATCTGCAGCTCTTCCATACCATGCGGACTCTGCCAATAAGTCATCAATATCGGTCTTGTTCCTGGCCACTAATCGTTGGATGTTGGTGGTCACTGCTTGAGCTCGTAGCTCATTTGGGGCGTCTTCGATGGTGCGTCCGTCATCGTAGGTGACTCGAAGCTTCGCTTCTGGCTCAATGTCGGTATATCGGTGCAAGTCAGGATACTTGTGAGTGCCATGGTGGTAGATGTGGCGTAGTTTCTGGAGCACAATCAGCGCATGCTCCTTCTCGTCGTCCTCTCTGTTGGAGGCTGCCTACGAAGACCCGCTCCCCTAGATCCCTTGAGCCTTTGCCGCTCGAAACTCCCCCTCCCAGAAGTGGCGGTAGCACAACCTGCGAAGGTGCTCTCAGGTGCGCAGGTCTCGCTGCATCTGCCGAATGAATCAAGCCCGCGAAGAACACGAGCAGGCCGACAACAAGCAGACTACGGCTGCACATGCTGGCCCAGGATGTTGTTGCGCTGGCTCTCCTGCGAGACGGGGTGGAATATGAACTTAGGTGGCATCGCATCTGATAGTGTTGTTGTCTCGCACAACAAGTGAAAGTGGCGAGTGGAATCTGCTAGGAGCGAGAGAGAGAGAGGGTCGAGACGGTCATATGTCATATGGACAACCACAGGACCGTCACGAGATGCCGCTATCGCGCGTATCGCACTTGGCACCAATCTGGGATGACTAAGGGGTAACGGATGGCGGTTAGCCGCTTTGGGCTTCCGTCAACCGTCTTCCAGTCCGAAGTTGGCACACCACGACCACGACCACGACGCCAACCAATGTACCTACCACCGGTAGATGTACCTCCTCCATCATCCCTCCTACCTAGACTGCACCACACCAACTTTGAGTTTCTCTTCCCATTCTGCATCCTCAAACACCACACGCTTGCCACCACTTCGGCTTAGGTACACATCGCGTGCCGCATAGGCCGAGGAAAGAACAACCAGTCCAGTTCCTGCATACCACAAAATGTCCACGTTCGGCTTATGGTACGCCTGATTCGCTTCCGAGGCCACATCGACCTTGCCGGCGAGTCGTCTCGAGCTCCTCAGAGCACATATCCGGCGCACGTGCATCGAGAACGGCCATGGATGGCAGCGTCACGCCGTCGGGGTCTGCCTCGCTCTCTGCTGCCACTCAACAGCTCGCCGCCCAAGTCAGCCTGCACGCACCGGACAGCAGCGTGACTCCCGACTCCGCTCGGTCGACCTTGAGTATGCTCGGAGGTCTGACTCTGGGCATCTTCACAGTCGTGCCTAGCATACTGTACTGGACCATCACATTTGTGACATATACGCTGCCGACATGGCTCTTCTCCTTCCTGTCAACCAGCATGACCTTTACGATGAACATGACGACTCTGTTGCTAGTCCTGGTCGTTATGGCTTCGACGGTCAGCTGGTTCGTGAGATACAGGTTCTTGAACATGTATTCTCGTCTGCCACCAGAGCCACAGCGAAAAGAGCCACAAATTGAGATATTTCCAGGATCCGAGGAGAATGATTCGAAGCCTGGCCTGGGGAATTACTTTGATGAGTTTCTCAGTGCAATCAAGGTCTTCGGGTATCTGGAAAGACCGGTCTTTCATGAACTCACGCGAACGATGCAGACTAGGAAGCTCATTGCCGGGGAAACTCTCCTGCTGGAAGAGGAGAAGGGTTTCTGCTTGGTGGTGGATGGTCTTGTGCAAATCTTCTTCAAGTCCAACCGCGACCAGGACAGCGATTCGGCGAACGAGAATGGCGCGGACGAAGATCACGTCGAAGATCGAGGAAGCGGTCATGGGAGTTATCAGTTGCTCACTGAGGTCAAGAATGGGGCCCCGATGTCCTCGCTTTTTTCAATTCTAGCACTGTTCACCGAAAACGTCAAGCTCAGGTTCGATGAGGACGAACATCTAAATACCAGTGGATCCAGTGGAAATCTCAAACACCAATTTCGCATGCCGCCGCATGCTGAAAATGGAACTCCAGAACTGGGGACAGACGGCGGCAGGCATTGGGTAGGTGGTTCTCGTCCTGCCTCGAGGCAGAGAACTTCGTCCAATGCGCACAACGGTGGTTACCCTTACTCTTCGCGAGAGCCACCCCCTCTCACCTTGGACGGCAGTGCTAGCACGGACGACGGCATTCAGCACCAGCATAGTCGCAGACCTAGCTACGCTCGCGCTGATAGCACACGTACCAGGAAACGGAAGCAAGCATCCGCACATCCAGACATCGTGGCTCGTGCCACTGTTGATACCACAATTGCAATCATTCCTGCTAGCGCATTTCACCGCATCACGAGAATGTACCCCAAGGCAACAGCCCACATTGTGCAAGTCATCTTGACTAGATTGCAGCGCGTCACGTTGGCCACTGCGAGTTCGTATCTGGGACTGACCAGTGATGTGCTCAGGACAGAGCGCTTGATGGACAGGTATACAAGTTACGATCTGCCAGATTTTCTGAGGGGCGAAGCAATGTCCCGATTGAAGGACAAATTCCGCAAAGATCTGGAGCGTGTGGAGCCAGAGGAACTCACGAAAGGGATTGCTCTACACAATCCGCGAATTGCTCAGCGGAGGCGTACTAGTAGCACACTGCAAAGGGACGTGGCTATGCGCGCGCGTATGAGCGCCGCCAACTCTATCGAGGTCGGCCGCGAACGAGGAGGTATGAGCGCTGGCGACCTTTTGACCAATATACATGCACAACGCGACTCTGGCCGTGTCCGAGGTGAGCGTGGCAGCTTCTCCCACCCATACTCCACACCACGAATCAACGGCGAAGATATAGACCTGACGTCGAGGAGAGACGGACGAGAGCATTTCTCCCCACGCATGAACCCACGAGCAACTTTGCATCGCCAAGAGTCCATAGATGAGGATGCCATCTTTCGCGAATCCATCATGGACTGTATGGCGAAGGCAATTGGTCTCACGAATTCTAGAGATGGCGGGAGGATGCCCGAATCTGTTGCGCAATCGCCGCGCTTAGTATCGTACGACAGGCGGAGTCAGAGCGCCGTGTTCAATAACGCTGCTTTCGGGTTCATGGATTCATTTGATGGATCGCAGGACGACGGAGACTCGGTAGCTTCGGCGTCTGCGTTTAGTGTTGGCGGTTCAGCAAACATCATGGAAGATCTGAAGAATGAAATCGAAATCGTGTATTTCCCCAAAGACTCCGTCTTGGTGGAGGAGGGCGAGCGTAATCCTGGCATCTACTATGTGATCGACGGCTTCCTCGATGTGAGCGCATCAATGGAGCAGGAAGCGCACTCCAATGTGCTTGGCACGCTCGCTCGGCCTGGTGGTGCGGAGTCGGCGGATCTGTTTGGCCCAAAGTCACTACCATCAGATGACAAGAGATCGTCTTCAGTCGGCGCGTCAGAGCATCACAAAAGGAAAAAGTCCGGCCGAATCCCCAAAAGCCTTCATCTGATCAAGCCGGGAGGTCTCGCGGGGTATTTGGGCACTGTATCTTCCTATCGTTCGTTGATCAATGTCAGCGCCAAGACTGACGTCTATGTTGGATTTCTGCCGCGAATGGCCATCGAGAAGATTGTTGAGCGGCATCCGGTCGTATTGTTGACGATGGCGAAACGAATCACCAGCCTGCTACCACGGCTCATCCTCCACATAGATTTTGCGTTGGAGTGGGTACAGGTGAATGCTGGACAGGCCATCTACAACCAAAACGAAGAGAGTGACGCCATCTACATCGTGCTCAACGGCCGCTTGAGAGCGATTCAAGAGAATGAAGACAACAAGATGAAGGTGATTGGTGAATACGGCCAAGGCGACAGTGTCGGCGAGCTGGAAGTCTTGACGGAGTCGACCAGACCCGGTACGCTGCACGCCATCAGAGACACAGAGCTTGCCAAGTTCCCGAAGACGCTCTTCAACAGTCTGGCACAGGAGCATCCTGGCATCACGATCAAAGTGTCGAAAATCATCGCTTCTCGCATGCGAGCACTGATCGAGAATCCCATGAATGAGCACGAAAGTTACAACAAGCTGAAAGTCCAGAGACCGAAGGTCACGACGACGTCAAATTTGAGGACTGTGGCTGTGATACCGTGCACAGCCGGCGTGCCGGTTGTAGAGTTCAGCAACAAGCTTCAAGCAGCGTTGAATCAAATTGGGACGCCAAACGGCGTCTGCGTCCTGAACCAAAGCTCGATTCTCAATCACCTCGGACGGCATGCATTCAGCAAAATGGGTAAACTGAAGTTAACCCAATACCTGGCTGATCTCGAAGAGAAGTATGGCATCGTCATCTATGTCGCTGATACCAGCGTCAAGTCGCCCTGGACACAAACATGCATCAGCCAAGCTGATTGCATCTACCTTGTGGGCCTTGCTGAAGGTTCGCCAGCCGTCGGGGAGTACGAGCGCTTCCTGCTCACTACGAAAACAACAGCTCGAAAAGAGCTCATACTGCTGCATAGCGAGCGGTATTGTCCCTCGGGCACGACGAGATCTTGGCTTCGCAACAGGTCCTGGATCAGCGGCTCGCACCATCACGTTCAAATGGCCTATCGAGCTACACCAGAGCCCGTCCATCCTCACACGGCTGGCAAGCGGCTCGGTAACGCCATCAAGCAACGTGTGCAAGTCATTCAGGCCGAAATCCACAAGTACACATCGCGGAGGGTCAGACAAACTCCTCTCTTTTCCGCCGAAACGCCGTTCAAGGGCGACTTCCATCGTCTGGCGCGTCGCCTTTGCGGCAAATCAGTCGGGCTCGTTCTTGGCGGAGGCGGCGCTCGTGGCCTTGCGCACGTCGGTGTGATTCGAGCTTTAGAAGAAGCGGGCTTGCCCATTGATATCATAGGCGGCACGTCCATCGGTGCTTTCGTGGGCGCCGTGTATGCACAAGACGCGGACGTCGTGCCCATGTATGGGCGTGTCAAGAAGTTCGCAGGTAGAATGGGCAGCATGTGGCGATTCGCATTGGACGTCACGTATCCTTCAGCTTCCTACACCACCGGACACGAGTTCAATCGCGGCATCTTCAAGACGTTTGGCGACAGTCAAATCGAGGATTTCTGGTTGGAGTATTATTGCAACAGCACCAACATATCCAAGAGTAGACCAGAAGTCCACACCAGTGGTTATGTATGGCGATACATACGCGCCAGCATGTCATTGGCGGGGCTACTACCGCCTATGTGTGATGAAGGATCTATGCTGCTCGATGGAGGCTACACAGACAACCTGACAGTCTCCCACATGAAGGCATTAGGCGCGGACCAGATATTTGCAGTCGATGTTGGCTCTCTCGATGACGATACGCCTCAAGCATATGGCGACTCGCTTTCGGGGTTCTGGGCTTCGATCAATCGATGGAACCCTTTCAGTTCCTACCCCAACCCACCCACATTGAGTGAGATACAAGCACGATTGGCTTACGTATCGAGCGTCGACAATCTGGAACGAGCCAAGAACATCCCAGGGTGTCGATACATGAGACCCCCGATCGAAAGTTATGGTACGCTGGACTTTGGGAAATTTGATGAGATCTACCAAGTTGGCTACCAGTACGGCAAGAAGTTCCTGGCCGACTTGCGAGATGAGGGCGTGCTTCCCGGGTTAGAGGCTGTCAGTGAGGAAGAAAGAAATCTCAGGAGAACGATGGCACCTCGGAGAGCTAGTATCTGAGCGATGCTCCATGCTGAAGAACAGTACATGGATGTATTGCGGACACCAGCCCAGAGGTATTGCGAGGTTAGCTGACCATAGGATTGCGAAAGATGTCGTACGTTCTCCGAATGCAGAACCTTAGCTACCTAGGTGGAGGTAGTTGACAAAGCCGTAATTCCGGCGCGATGATGTGCTCACCGGCGTGGCAAGGTATGAGCGATTTTGATTTTCACGATACCCACAGTATAGCAGCAGAATCAGGCATTCACAGGCGATCATGTGTCTGTCTTCCTACCTCCTCTGTGTACCCTGTGCCGTGCTGCCCGCGTAGGAGGAGGTAGTAATATCTTCGGCCATTGCCATGCTGCACTGCCGATTTCCAGGGTCGACGCGATTGTACCTTATTTGTCGATCCGATAACTTAGAAGAGCTGCCCGTGCCGGCTCAGGCTTTCCGATAGGGACGCGTGCCCTTGTTCCCCCCCTAATCATATTGCACTACCCGTCCAAAAGCACCTCAGGTAGTAATGCATCGCGACACCTCGTTCGTAGAGAAATCGCGTGTGAACGCCAAGCAGAGGCCGAGGCCACACAGTAAATGTACCAGGTAGATACAATTTTCATGCCTCTAGTGATTGAGGGGTGGGGGGGCACTACTTTGGGAGTTCTCCATTTGCTCCACATCGTCCCTACAGTTCGTCGTCGGCTGAGGGTCAATCGGATCGGTTCGGGTTCATGAGATCGATCCCTCCCCTGTAACGTTTGATGTGGTGACTGGCCTACTAGCGACAATATGACGACAACTATTCCATGTCTGGCAAGGTACGTGTAATGCCCTGAGTGGCGTACATACATGTAGGAGCTATGTAGGCAAGTATGGTGCGCATGCCACACAGATTACTACACTGTACACTTGTGAAACAATTTCTCCCATACCTACCTTCTCATATCTATATAAGAACATAGCCCTCGCTCCCCCTTATCTACACCAGCAACAGTCCACATCACAGCCGGGATCAATCGCGAGATACCATCCGTATTGGAATTTCCATCGCAATACATCCGCCGCCATGCCCACCAAGAAGAACTTCCAGGTCGCCATTGTCGGAGGAGGTATGTATGCACACCGCGCAACACCGGCCACGCTCAGCTCACCGTCTCATGAGAACCAACCACGATCTCTATCGAAGATCCTAGCAAATGCTGACAGGAGAGACAAGGCATATCGGGGCTGACCCTGGGCATTGCCCTCCACAGCCGTGGCATACCAGTGACCATCTACGAGCAAGCTCCCCATTTTGCAGAGATTGGCGCCGGAGTGGCGTTCACGGGCAATGCCGTGCAGGCCATGAAGCATTGCAATCAAGGCATCTACGAAGCGTTTGAGAAAGTCCGGACGAAGAATATGTGGCCAAGCAAGGAGAAAGTGTGGTTTGATTACCACGATGGCTATCATCGGAAAGCCGACCAAAAAGATACTCATGCCTTCACCATCACCAACTCGATTGGCCAAGCGGGTGTACATCGCGCGCATTACCTCGACGAGCTGATCAAGTTATTCCCCAGTGAGCAGGCACAGTTTGGCAAGCGGTTGGAGAGGTTGGACAAGGGAGATGATGGGAAATGGACTCTGAAATTTGAGGATGGAAGTTCTGCCACTGCGGATGCTGTGATTGGATGTGATGGCATCAAGTCCAGTGTGAGGAGAATGTTATATGGCGAAAACGACCCCCGGAGTTTCCCCACGTACACCCACAAGTATGCATATCGGGCACTCGCAGATATGGACGAAGCGGTTGCAGCTGTGGGAGAAGAGAAGGCTAAGAATTCATGCATGCACGTGAGTATCTATCTACCACCACCCTATACATCCCATCCTTTGCATGGGTATTTAGGAAATACTGACTTTTTCTTTCTCCTCTAGATGGGTCCAGGCGGCCACATGCTCACCTTCCCCGTAAACCACGGCAAAACCCTCAACATCGTCGCCTTCCACACATCTCCAGACGACTGGCCCGACTACTCCAAACTCACCCGCTCCGCCACGCGCGAAGACGCCCTCCGCGACTTCTCGGGCTACGGCCAAGACGTCATCCGCCTCCTCCAACTCTGCAAACCCAACCTCGACGTCTGGGCCATTTTCCACTTAGGGGACCACCCACTCCCCTACTTCGCCAAAGGCACCATCTGTCTCGTCGGCGACGCCGCACACGCCACCTCGCCACACCACGGCGCCGGAGCGGGCATGTGCATTGAAGATTCCGCCGTGCTAGCAGATTTGCTCGCAGACGAGAATGTGAAATCCCACAAAGATCTCGAGGCGGCATTTGCCATTTTCGACGAACAGAGACGTGATCGTGGGCATTTTTTGGTGCAGACGAGTGCGTTTATTGGAAATAGTTATGAGTGGTTGGCGGACGGCGTGGGAGAGGACTTTTCGAAAATTGAACATGAAATTAATGTGCGCAATGCGAAAATTGCTAATGTGGATGTGCCGCAGATGTGTCGTGAGGCGACGGCCAAGTTGCAGGGAAAGATTCAGTCGAGGCTGTGATTGATTGATGGATGATGATGATGGATGATGTGAGCGAAAAGAAAAGAAACATGTGGCAATGGGGTTGGGAAATCTGATATGTTTTGCTCCATGGGTCCCTTTTTATGTTACCTAGCCATTCAATTACACCATTCAAATTTACATATGTATAAGATACATGTAGGCTCGGTTGCATGAGCACAGCTCAGTAACCGCCTATTGAATTTGTTCGTTGTCTGTTGTCCAGAGGACTCTTGACCAGCATCAACATGTACATATATCAGTTGCGGAGCTGCAAACTCTGCACCCGATGTAAAAGGGGCTTCATTCACATCACGACGAGCACCATATCCCGCTCGATGACAACTTTTGGGGGGGTATCATTATTCACTTCCAGGCCAACCGATCAACACCACCAAAGAATTCTTTTTCCCCAACCGCTCGCAGTCGTGTTTGCAGTCTTGCTGGGAGATCCGCTTGTCATCTCTTCACTTCCATGACCAGCAGCAAGATTAAAGGTGAGACTGTCCCCCACTTGGTGCGAATGATCCCACTCGTTCACTCCTCACGTGCCGACGTCGAACATGGTTGCCCGGAGTTGCGCCCGAGGCAAGCATTTCCGTGTCTCGGGCTCCGGGCTCGGCTAGGCCAGCCGGAGATATTCCAGCCTCCACTGGACCTGTCGGACACTCTCCAAATGCGGGGTAAGCAGAACCTGGTTTTCCACCATCCGTCTCCCACGACTACATGTACCCTCCGTGAAAGCCCTTCGGAATATCATCAATTGAGTATCACGGGCAGTGGATGCGAAAGCCACGTGGGAGTCGAAGCAGGGCATCCGGATTTGATGGTGCTGGACCAAGACGCGGCTGTCGAGTCTTTGAAGAATTCAAAGTCAGGCCTGGCCAATCTATCAGCAAGATACCCAACCGTCGCTGGTAGTGACTTTAGTCATACAGCTGAGGAATCTCGAGCCAATCTAGATTGATCAGTTGTTGTCCATACCAGGCCTCTGAGATGTTATCAGTGCCAAACAGATCCGACTCGTCCATACTGAGGGTCGAATACAAGTCGGCCGTGGTCGAAGTCGCGCCCTCCGTGTTGGGTGTCGGTCGGAGAGTTGGGTCCAGCTGGGTGGGCGACTCTTGTGTGACTGTTGATGCTGTGTAGTATCAGCATGAGTTATAGATCAGGCAAAGACCCGCGAGTAGAGGCGGATGGTGGTACCTTGTGCTCGTGATGTGATCTGCAGCTTGAGAGATTTGAGAATCTTGATAGCATGCTCGGCCGAATGAATTTGATTCTCATAATATTCCAAGATCACCAAACAACGTGACCATGTCGTCTCTCTGGTGTCTCCTTCAGGTCCCGAGAACAAATGGTCAATCTTCCATGACGCAAGCAGAGTCATTGCTGCACTGAACGTGACTGAAGGTTGGTATTAGCCGTAGTTCAGCAAGGATCTGTGTTGGCGACTCACAGTAGACTGAGTGCCAGCCAGAACTTCGGTACAATGTGTAGAATGTGTCGTGAATCCCATCTACCAGCCGGGACGCTGTTAAGACGCACCGGGTGCAACAGCTGCGGATCACATCGTCATCGAGCGAGTATTTCGTCAATGGTCGGGAGCCTCGCTTCGTTGCTGCCAGCAGGACGGGCCGGAGAGATAGCATGCGAATGAAGAGGAATCTGGTTGATCATGTCAGCCTCTGCAGTGCGCAATGGTAGAAAAGCAGACGAACCGATTATGCAAGACTTGTTGCTGCAGCAGTATATGATCCTCATTCCTACCTGGCGTGCTACTATTGTTTGAGACGCGCAAATAGTCTGGAACGGTTTCCGCGAAGTCATCGAGCTTTCTGTTGATAACCAGCACAGGCGTGACTATATCAGTAGTTTCCGGGAAGCTACTCCGGTTTTGAGACAGGCTACTGTGTCGATAGAAGCGTTCTAGGATCTCCTCAAGGAGTTCCATGAGCGGCGAGGAGTAAATGAACATTCCAAGCCGCGAGAGCACACCAGTGGCTTGGCTTCCGACACCTCGATCAGCCAGATATTCGTCGTCGATCAGTGCAGGAGCCGGCACATCAATTTGCTTCTCAATCATCGCAGGCCTTCCGAATGTCATAGAAAGGAGGCGATCGAGGTGTATGCAAGTATGCCAAATCCTACGACGCATTTGTTGTTCGACCTGTGACATCTGCTGGCGCCCGCTATGGTTGACATGCAAGCCAATGCTCTGGGCCATACGTATCGCTAACCCAATTGAGTTCCCTACACGGCATTAGCTCGACCAAGACCCTCATTGTCTGCTTGACTTACAGCACCTGCTAGCATGCTGGGTCGACTGTAGATACACGCCTGTTAACACCAGCATCTGTACCACCGCGATGGAGGTAGAGTCCAATATGTCAAAAGCATATGACTGTCGCGACCGCTGGAAGAAATCTTCTGCGACAGTGGACTTTTGTGCCGCCTCGATTATGCTGCTGAATTTACAGCCTATGGCGAATACCAAGTTGAGTGTCGAAGTGAAAATGGCATCTTCCACCTCGGACTCGTTGGCTTTGTTGTTATTATCGTCGGTATCGATCCATAATGACTCATACTTGCGTAAAAAGGCCGGCCGGTGAAGCACGGGAAAGAGAGGATGTATGAACTCCCAGTAACAGAGCAGGAAGTTGTCTGCTTCACGTCTGCACACTGATTAGCCCATAGCCAACGCCGTGCACGGAGACCACGCACCTTCGTGGTAACACTGCTAGACCGTGACTCCGGGGTAGATGTCGATCTGGGAGAGGCACCGATGGTCGAGGCTTCACGTCCGGATCGAGCAAGCTGGGCTCTACCGGTGTCGCTGTCCCCGACTTGTGAGGCATGACATGGCGTAGAAATGCCACAGCTGACGATGGTCCATATATGGAGCCATCGCTGCCATCGGCCAAGGTAGCTAAACCATCTGCGCGCGACGTTGTGCTCCATGTAGGCTGGTACTGGCCCGCGACGGACGGTGCACTGGGAGCGGAATCGGAAGGGCGGACGGTGCTGGTAGTAGACATTGAGGCAGGGGCAACGACCTCTCGAGGCTGTTGTCCCAAGTCTGACAACGCCTGAGCGGCCGCGTGGTTGCGTGGATCCGATCCGAGTTCTCGGATGTGGCGAAGACTGTCTGACTGCGGCGAGTGTCCAACACTCGCTCCCGATGCTCGAGGCTGCCGCTGTCTCCGCACGTCTGTATATTACATCAGCTTCTGCGCACGGCATATCATGCGATGCAATGCGATGCTTTGCTTTGCTTTGCTTCACACTCCAGCAGCGGTGGCACGTTCTCACAGTCGAAGTTGCAGCTTTTGGTCACGCCTCTGGTCTCGCATGCACGGCATATCGGTTGGCGGCCGTCGCATCGAGTCTTCCGGTCTCGACACGGCCCACAGGCCTATATCCACCTCATATCAGCGTCTGCTGCCTCGCCGTCCACGGGGGAAGCCTCTCTACCTGTGATACTCGCTGCCGTTTGGTGCTTTTGGGCAAGTCGGGCTGCGATCCGTCGGCGGCGCGGAACGCGTGTTGGCCTCCCTGCATCATCTGATCCGGGGCCTGGCCCTCCATAGCTACATGTATGTACTACGAAGTGCGTGTCTTCTTCCCTCTGCTTGGTATAGGCAAGGCAAGGCGAGGCAAGGCAAGGCACCGTCTTTTCGCGGGACCTGGTAGAGGTGGCATTAATCATCACATGGAAAAGGGCAAAGGGCACGCGGTAAAGTTCTACGGTACACTGCGGAAGGGTCCGCTTCGGCCCTGGCCAGACCAGACACCCAAATCTTCGACGCTACTGAAATCCCTGCCTACTCGTCCTCAGGTATATACCTAAGGTACCTGACATTAGTAGATGACACCCCTTGTTGAGAGACAAACCAACCGGATTCCGTTCTGTGCTGCTTCTGGTCGCTTCTGGTTGTCATGAGAGTCTCTTGCCCTGGCAACTACGATGCCGATCCTTGCAGAGTGAAGGACACAGTTGCTCCTACTACCGGATAGTCTCATTCGCCCACTGCAGGAGAGGGCACCAAGCATGGTCTCATCAGTCACATCACTGGCCTTGTTCCAAATCGGCGCGACATCTTTTCTCCCCAAGGCAGCGCCATCATTTTCCGAATCAGTATGCTCGCCAGCCTCGAGCATATCTGCCGACAGCTCCTACATGGGTCGTTCTCGATCATCGATCGCTTGAAGTGGTGACTTTACTATCTTCTTTGCATACATGATGCTGGCCGAGGGATTTTGGATGGTCAGCCTATATGGCGATGGCAAGACCATTGGATCATTCCTGGAGCGCTTCGACGGCATATGCGTGCTGAACAGCTGCTCATTGTGAGCCAGACGTCATTTCAAGCAGACGCGCTCTGAATCTAAATTCTGAAGCCGACGTAGTGCTTGAGTTGCATGCAATCTGAACACACGGCCGAGGTGGAGCTGAAGTACTTGAATCTTGCTGCCCAAGAAGCCAATCTCTTCGGCAGATAATAGTGCAATCGACTGCATGCTCGTAGTAAAGTAGCCGAGCGGCCGTCTGCAGGCTTCCTTTGATGGTCAACTTCCACGGAGATAGGAAAGACCGCTCAAGTGAACAATGTACTGTAGGCAGCGTACCTAGCATACCGTATCACGCGCTAGCCATTTGTCCCCTGGTTAGAAGCGGAGCTGCCCTGTATATCCTGTAAGAGGTGGATGAACAGCAAGCACGTCAAAGAGACCAAGACCGTGATAAGGTTCATGTTGATAGGTATTGGGTAGAAGTGCGAGGCTTGTTTACTTGTCGTCGCAGCGAAGCGTCGAACCGGAAACTCTATTATAGGTGATGCCGGGCGCTCGGGTGGAAGAGGTGGGGGGGGG